TAAGAACATTTTCAAGCTCAGGGCACACACATTCATTAGACAAAACTTTTTTTCACTTCGGGTAGTAGCTGCGTGGAATGACCTTCCTCCGACGGTTGTACACGCTCCTTCTGGAACCCAGTTTAAAGCACTATTAGACATTTATTTATGCGAATCCTCGCGCTTGCAAGCATACTGCCCCGCGTTGAGAACATAAAGAGCAGTGCTACACCCTTTTTTCACTTGTGCCTTTCAGGTGAACGACAGCCACTGACCGACAAGAACAAAACCGACCCGGGAAACTTGGGCAAAAGCCTCGATCCTGTGTATCAATCCGTAAATCCGCGAAAAGCTGCCTAATTTCAACCATCAAAAGCGATGAGGTCCCATTCTTTTCCATTCTGGTCTTGATGCACAACCCGAATATATGACAAGGATCGATAACCTGCGAAGCCAAGTCCACCAGTCTTTGGCTTCCTGTTCATGTTCATACCTAGTGAAACCGTTGAACTTATGCCATCCGAGTTGTTTTAATAGCCAGGTCCGAGTAATTTGGCCTATTTCTCGCTGCCGTTTGGCTATTTGCCTCCTCCCCATGGGTGCTCGAATCTTGGATCTATCACGGTGGAGTTGATCATTCGAGGCGAGATTATACCGAGTTCTGGAATTACTTTCACAAGCCGCTGTTTGATTTGATCGATTATCAATAGGGTGTGATCAGCCTACCTCAAGGTGCTGAATATTGCTTCTGAGCGTCAGACTCCCAACGGCTGTTGGATTAACACGTTTGGTTGATGGTGATGGCCGAGAATACTTGCGAAGATGGTAACTGTCTCGACATTGTCAAATCGTCGCATTTAGTCCCGAATGGGCAATTCCGCTTTGAGGATGGGGAACTTGTTCTGTCCGATAATGAGCCTCATCCCGAAGGGAAAGGTGAATCGGAAGATGCTTCGAATTCAAGGAAAAGTAGACGGAAGCAGACGTTCGAGCGCCGTAATATAAAGTAGGTTACTGAGTTCTTCCCGCTAAAATGCTCCAGGAAAGTTCGAGAAGATGCTCTCAGCGAAGAGGCAAAAGCTGCACAGAAGGCTGAAATGGAAAGGAGGAAAAGGCTTGGCAAGGACCACGTCGACCATACGAAGTTTTCAAACATAGAATTTCTACTCAACGGTAAGCGGCAATAATTTTAACATTCCTGCTCGCAGTTGAGCACTAAGGTGCTATTAGATGAGTCAAAAACTTATCCTAGACGGCTTTCCGCGTTTACTTTTTTGAGGAAATTGTATGCATCCTGTTTTTGTGAGCTAGCGGCAAATCAAATGCTTTGAAGTAACAGCTGCCAATAATTTACGGTAATAATGCCGGTGCATTGTGGACCCTAGCCGGAGTAGCTAGTTTCTACGAAACACTCAGTTGACAAATGACTGTGATTGGTCCTGATAGCCAGCTGGTCCCTGCAAGGTTCCAGGGTGCAGGCCTTAAAACGGCTGTTTCATGTCAACCGGGAGGTCGGCGGCCGGTCCTTTTGCCAAACTGTCATCGATTTCATATCACTACCGGATTGGTATTCTTTGGGTTCATGACAATTCGTAACTGAACCGAATAGTTCTTCCACCCCCTGGCATTCGTTGTGGCACCAGATATCCTAACCAACCACAACTTGCACAATCCTCGGGCGCACGATACTTAACTTGAGAAACGCCAGCCCGAACCCAGCTTACGTGTTTCGAACGATCGTGGCTACTCTGTTACCAAGGTCTAGTCTTCCTGCTTCCAAACACTCCATCCGTTTGCGACCTCATGGCCGGGGTGTTGGTAACTAAGACCCTACCATGCTGTACCCGGCCGCTGCGACTACATTGTTTTCGATCTCTTCCATTTTTTGTGCCACCAGGGAAACTACCAAGTACATTCAGCCGCCTAAGTCCACACACTACAACGAGTAATTGGAGTTTGTTCTTTGGATTTACGTGTGAGTAGGTGTTGAAGACTCAGAGGAGTGTCGACTCTGACCGACAAAGTCATGAAAACCAGAAGTGAGCGCGCTACAATGGACTTTAATGACTATAGGGATCTGAATCCGGATATCGGTCAAATAGTGCGTCTTAGGTGAGATGGCTCAAGTGGTTAGAGTGCAAGTCTGACCGGAAGGTCCGTGGTTCGGACCCAGCCTCTGCCTCTCGACTTCCCCAATCTCGACATGGGCAAACTGGCAGTACCCCAGCCTCGTGCTTCCTTCGGGTGGCATGGCGGCTAGGCACCGAAAGAGACTGAATCGATAGTGCGTCAGATGCTGGAGACTTTGCTGAGACGACCCATACAATCGTGTTTGTTAAGATTTTCTGCCCCCGGAACCGTTACAGTTCTGGGCCGACCAGGACAGCTGGCAACGTCCTGGTTTACTGACCTGCGAGGGGACACAATTTTCTACACAAGCCTGTCATCAGTCTCAGGAATTCCAACCAGAACACACCCGTACCAACCAAAAGGCCAAACATAGACACCATGCTGGCACAATATGCAGCTGTCTCCGCACAACTCCATGCTGGGTTCACGTGGCCAAGTAACCGGTAGCAAAATTGTTTCAACCTGTCACTTGAGGATCTCCAGAGAAAGTGCACTTAGTGAAACGGAGCATCCGTTCAAAAGTTATCCACTTGCTGGACTACGAATTTCCGAGCGAATTCATCAAATATTCTCAAGACCCTGCGGATAGAAGCACCCTCACCAAGGCGCAGAGGATGTAAGGAGTCATCATATATAGCCATAAACGAGGCAAAGAAAACCCAGTCAATAACTACTTTTTCCAATCCATCGTGACCGTCAGGGCGATCACCTCGTTTTTGTCTATGTGAACTGGAAAGAAGGAAATAACCTATGAACTTGGATCTCTCGCAGAATGGCGAAATAACGAAAACACTGACAACCCCCAATGGGGGATGGAACGAACATAACGCGAGTAGGAGGCTATACGAGCTAAGGAAAACAAGGGTTGTAGGGTTCTCAGGACAGGCTGCTCTCGGGAAAGGGCTTTTTGGTTCAGCCACAGATATGAACCTGAAGCTGATAGCTCGGTGAGATAAGATGGTTTTTGTGTTCGAAAAGAATGGGGTGAGAGACAAGATGAGCCCATTCTTGCCGATATATTCCGTGGAAGTAACGGTAGAATATGTTGAGAGATATCACGTCTCAGCGGCGATGAAGTATTTGACAGGATCAGGGAAGAGTTGTCGAGTTTCCCATATACCCTTCCTTGTCACATATTCTTTTTCCTCCTCCATCCCACTAATAACTCTGTTCTTGAAGACCCGTCATTCGAGTTAAGCTTTTTTAGCTCACACACCGTGTACCGAATTACAGTGATTCCAGTTGCTATACATTCGTTCACCTAAAAGAAAGAATACGGAAATTATGCTGAACTGTGGGAACGATGACTTCGTTCGTCTTGCACAGGTTTTCGCTGCAACGTCTGTTCGTCAACCGGCACTGACAGCCTCAAACAGCCCGAAATCAATCCTCAAGCATCGACACCCCATTCATCTGGCAGCTTTCAATAATCGCACTCTGAAGCAAGCAAACAACAAGTTAACCTTGCTCTCGCACTGGACTCTCCTGACGTTGATGTGTACTGTATATCAGAAACAAGAATTCAAAGTGCAATCACAGTGGTTGAGGTAACCACTCCATCACTCTCCACCCGCTTCGGGGTGCGCACCTCTAGGGGGCCGCTGCAGCGGATGTGCAGGGTTTGGAATCCTAAGTCACGGCGTAAAGATCCTTGTTTGACTGGATACCCGTAAATAGTCGACTCTGTGCGGTCCGTCTGGCAACGCCTGTCAAGAGTCTCAAGCGGAAAGTTGACCGTTGTCCGCTTGTGTCTGCTTAGGCCCCAACCGACTGCAACTCTGGCACCATCAAAGACAAGTTTTGTGACACCTTGAATGCCCTGTTGCGGCGAGCTGAAACCTCACATATCGTTTTAGTTTTCGGAAGTCTGAATACACAACTGGGCAGGCTTAGCGCATCTGAGACTCGATTGGGTGGATTGGACTCGGTACGTACGGACATTGGTGAACCATTTTCTCAGCTGTGTGGACCGTCGGCTGTTTTTACGTAGTACTAACTTCCGAAATAGCCGAAGTCATCTGGCCACATGGTATCTGACTACGAACTTCAAATTTATCACATGGCCATCAGTTACCGATGGCGCGGATCAACAACTGACTGCCGCTCGTTTTAGAACACATCTGTGGATTCTGACCTCACCACCCAAATTTGCTCCTCCTTTTGTACCCAAGGCCGCTTAAGGTGTGGACAAATCGCTCAGCAACTGAGACTGGCAAATGTGGGTGGCCGAAGTTGTTAGAGCGCGGATTACTAACCTGAAGGTCCGCGGTTCGAATCCGACCTCCGCCACTCGACTTCCCCTGTCTAGGCTTGGGCAACCTGGCAGTATCCCAGCCCTCGTGCTCCCTTCGGGTGGCATGGCAGCTAGGCACCGGAAGGGTGCTACAGCTGAACGCTTTTTTTTATCAACTGTACCAAAATCGTCTTCTGGATTATTTTCCAGCTGCTCCGACACCAGATGTTAATTCATACTTGAACGAGATCGCCGCCCCGTTGGTCACTGCTGGGAGTTTTGCGTCCCGACCTAAAGCTGCCCCCAAGACCGCGCACTCCGATCGCCCAACGGTTGACCGTGATCGCCGGCGCATTATCCAATACGGTCGAAGTACTTTCAAAACCAAAGAGTCCGATGCTGCTCAAAAGACACCTGCTGTGCGCAGCCGCATCAGGAGTGAGGCAGTGCCTTATTTCCTGCGCCTTCGGGTCAGGCCAACCCTCTGCGGCAGAACAGGTCAGACTATTGAGTCATCGGCCCCGGCAAGGGTTTCCAAAGGAAACCCTACTGTCCACTGCCTCGTGGGTCAGAATTTTGAGTCAGAGGCTCAAGGTGGGGTACTTCAACCTCGGCTTGGGCAACCGAGAAGTATCATTTGCCCGCGCAGTTCGGTGCCCATCGATGTCCCTTCAGTTGGACCACGTGATCATCAGCCACCGGTGGAGAGCCACAATTCAAGACTGTTTTTTTTCTGGGACAAACCACTTGATTCCAATCACGCCATGTTACGTGCACGCCTGACAGTTCGTTTCCTTTCAGGCCCTCAACTCAGCAAGAAGCATGCCAATCCAGTGTCTTCGAAGAACTGCCACAGCCCAACAGTACCGATCTGAGATAGCCCATTAATTCTTCAGAGTAAAGCAACACTGTGGTGGCAGTGAGAATTAGGATGTAGCGTAGAAAAATGTGTAAGGAACCATGTTAGCGGCGTTCAGTGCTGTCTGTCCGACCACAAGACTACTGGATGTCGTTGAGATCACTGTCCATGATTGATACCAGGAAAGCCATACCAGCGGGCACCGAGTAAAAGGGCGCACGCGAATCTCTCGGACGTCAAATAGTGGAGTCTATGGAAATACAGGGAGCTCTGATGGACATCGAAGGCTCGGGAGATGAAGAAGACCTTTGCTACGAGAAACAGCCGTGCCCCATACCAACTGATACGATCGACTGGCCCTGAGAAAGCAGCGGCCAGCAAAACCACAAGTGAAAAAAATATGGTTCATTAATTCAATCGCTAAAGTGTCGGCTTGAAAGATGGTCTGAACATTTCGAAGAACAGTTCAGCTGGCCTCCTGCAACCCAGCCTGTGGAGAAAGTGCATACAGGCGAATGGAATTTAAACCTTCGTAACATGTTGGAAGAAGAAATAAAGTACGAACTATCCGTACTGAAACGTGACGAATCACCAGGACCCGATGGTCTGTATCCAGCCCTCTTCAAAGAAGGCGAAGAATCTGGTGACCCGTCTGGCAAAGCTTATTGGCACAGTGACACTACTTCTAGTAACCAACAGTGGTTGTGTTCCTTGATTTTAAAAGCTGCCTTTGACTCTGAACCGTCAGGCTCTAAGTCAATGGAGCAATGGTGTCTCCCATAAATTCTTGATCATCCTTTAGGTGCTATACGCCAATTCCCGCGAGCGTGTTGTCTCGCCTGAGTTCACCACATCAAGTGGTGTCAGAAGAGGCTGTATTCTTTCGCCTTTCCTTTTCAGCTTCGCTATTGATACGATTATGGAAGACTCACCATCAGCCTCTAATGCCTGTGGGGTCGAAGTTCTCCCGGGGCGTCCGCTCACAGGTATCGAGTACAAACCTCTTCTAGGGTCTGATGCCATGGTAGTGCAGACAATATTAAATGATCTAAGTAATTGTGCGTCCCGGTTTGACATGCGCTTCACACCTGGAAAGTGTAAAGTGCTACTGTAAGGCTGGGTGGGCTTCGAACTTAACCTCATGCTTGCGGATGAGCCGCTTGAAGTAGTAGACAAGTTAGTCTGCCTGGGCAGCTGTATCAGTCCTGCTGGTCTAGCGAAAGATGATATTTCCATCCTCATTGAGAAGGCCAGAGCAGTTTTTATGAACATGCATCACCTGTGGCGTGGGCGTGACAGGTTATCCGTCAGCGGTCGAGTTTACAATGTTGCGGTGCGATCCATATTGGTATACGGGTGAAAAACCTGGCCGCTGCGTGCCGAGGACGTCAACAGACTTTCAGTGTTTGACCATCGATGTCTTCGGAGCATTGCCGAGTGGTGGGAACACCGGATCAGCACTGCTGAAGTAAGTTGAATGATATTCGGAAGAAATAAATCATCTTCGATAGATGAACTGACCACACTGTATTGGTTGCGCTGGCTTGGCCGCGTTCCCCGTATGCCAGTCCACCGACTTCTTCAAAGGGTTCTTTTCACACAACCACATGAAGGGTGGAAAAGAGCCAGGAACGCTTAAACGTTGACTTGGCAGAAAACTTACCAGAAAACTCAACTGTGTTGGTCATTGCCGTCGTCCTGGATGGGGACCCCGAGAAGGGCCACACCAATGGCTAGAGGGATTGTCAGACATGACCCAGTCGAGCCCCCAATGGTGCTCGTGCATCCAAGCTATTGCCTTCAATCCATGGCCTCTTTCCCAATTTCCCCACTTAACAGTCCACTGACAGTGCTGTATTTATGAACCAATTTATCAGCTCGCGTCTCTAATGCGTAGCTACCTAACACACCCCAAATCATCGGTGAACGGAATTGTGGCAACTACATCCACTGTACGACGAGCACGCGGTTCTTACGGCTGACAATAATGATAACGATGATTTTTGCGTGTGACATGGCGATACCACACTCGCCCATGCACTGGATATCAGACCGAGCAGTGACTTTGCTTAAATTTCGGAAAAATGTCACCTCCGGTCCCGAACATAATTTGGCCCGACGAATTATCAGACTTCAAGAGGAACAAGTGCACGCGCCGACCATGGTGGACACAAAAATCTTCGGAAATGGAAGGGGCTCCAAAAACCAGGAATGGCGGGATGTTGCCTCGTTTNACCATCAGCCTCTAATGCCTGTGGGGTCGAAGTTCTCCCGGGGCGTCCGCTCACAAGTATCGAGTACAAACCTCTTCTAGGGTCTGATGCCATGGTAGTGCAGACAATATTAAATGATCTAAGTAATTGTGCGTCCCGGTTTGACATGCGCTTCACACCTGGAAAGTGTAAAGTGCTACTGTAAGGCTGGGTGGGCTTCGAACTTAACCTCATGCTTGCGGATGAGCCGCTTGAAGTAGTAGACAAGTTAGTCTGCCTGGGCAGCTGTATCAGTCCTGCTGGTCTAGCGAAAGATGATATTTCCATCCTCATTGAGAAGGCCAGAGCAGTTTTTATGAACATGCATCACCTGTGGCGTGGGCGTGACAGGTTATCCGTCAGCGGTCGAGTTTACAATGTTGCGGTGCGATCCATATTGGTATACGGGTGAAAAACCTGGCCGCTGCGTGCCGAGGACGTCAACAGACTTTCAGTGTTTGACCATCGATGTCTTCGGAGCATTGCCGAGTGGTGGGAACACCGGATCAGCACTGCTGAAGTAAGTTGAATGATATTCGGAAGAAATAAATCATCTTCGATAGATGAACTGACCACACTGTATTGGTTGCGCTGGCTTGGCCGCGTTCCCCGTATGCCAGTCCACCGACTTCTTCAAAGGGTTCTTTTCACACAACCACATGAAGGGTGGAAAAGAGCCAGGAACGCTTAAACGTTGACTTGGCAGAAAACTTACCAGAAAACTCAACTGTGTTGGTCATTGCCGTCGTCCTGGATGGGGACCCCGAGAAGGGCCACACCAATGGCTAGAGGGATTGTCAGACATGACCCAGTCGAGCCCCCAATGGTGCTCGTGCATCCAAGCTATTGCCTTCAATCCATGGCCTCTTTCCCAATTTCCCCACTTAACAGTCCACTGACAGTGCTGTATTTATGAACCAATTTATCAGCTCGCGTCTCTAATGCGTAGCTACCTAACACACCCCAAATCATCGGTGAACGGAATTGTGGCAACTACATCCACTGTACGACGAGCACGCGGTTCTTACGGCTGACAATAATGATAACGATGATTTTTGCGTGTGACATGGCGATACCACACTCGCCCATGCACTGGATATCAGACCGAGCAGTGACTTTGCTTAAATTTCGGAAAAATGTCACCTCCGGTCCCGAACATAATTTGGCCCGACGAATTATCAGACTTCAAGAGGAACAAGTGCACGCGCCGACCATGGTGGACACAAAAATCTTCGGAAATGGAAGGGGCTCCAAAAACCAGGAATGGCGGGATGTTGCCTCGTTTCATGTGACGGACCCACTGGTGAGCGAAACCATCAAGGCTTAGAATGGTGCGACCATTTTGAATACAGAGGAACGCCTCGGTTGGTAGGCCGAATTATTCGCACAAAAATTATCGTGGTCGCCAGCTGCCACTCATTTGGAGCCCAAAGCCAACGTAAAAACCTGGACGGTGGACGTATAACCCCCCATGGCCTCGGATGTACATGACTGCATATGTTTCAAGGTCACCGAGCTCCTAGTCCAACCTGCATTATTTAAAGATTGGTGTGAAGACCCCAGTCAGTGCTTACACGATCTGTTCGGCTGCATTTGAGAAAAGGAGACTACCCCAGACAACTTGGAAGAATGGGTGATAATGCCCATTTTCAAAAATGCGAATCATTATAAGTCCGCTAACCACAAGGGAATCAGCTTGATCTCGGGCGTCATGAGACTGTTGGCGTCACTTATGCTTCGTCGCTTTACGGTGGCTCGTGCAACGCTTGCTCCAGGGTAGCTAGCCAGATTCTGGTAGGCGTTGCGTTGACCAAATCTTCACACTGTGTCAGGTTCGAGAACACTGCCTACTCATTGATGACGCACAGTTTCGTCATGAGAGGCGTCACTTATGCTTCGTCGCTTTACGGTGGCTCGTGCAACGCTGGCTCCAGGGTAGCTAGCCAGATTCTGGTAGGCGTTGCGTTGACCAAATCTTCACACTGTGTCAGGTTCGAGAACACTGCCTACTCATTGATGACGCACAGTTTTGGTACTGGATTTTCGAAGCGCATTGAACTCTTCTGTTCAGTCTACTCTCCTCAACAAACCCTCCCTGGAAGTTTGTGAACATGAGTTCCTTGTATTGTTAAAATTCTTGACGCATGAGAGTATATGGTGAGCTCTCCGAAAGTTTCCTTAAACAAGATGGTATACGACAAGTATTGCCACCCTTTATTTCTCAGAGTCGACGAGATAATGGGGCGAACGAAGGAAGGTCTTCAAAACTCTGGTGTTGAACTAGCTGCTGACGAAAATCGTTCGTGGACGACATTTTTACGGTCCTCGAAGAGAAGGTTCAGGTGTTTTGGATGAACTAATTTTTGGCGTGCGCTTTGCACCCGCAATGTATAGGGTCATGTTCCTGGACACGTGGTCACTGAACTCGCCACTTACAATTCAGAGAAGGGTACTCGAAGTTGTGGGGTGTTTTACGTATTTCGGAAGTTGTATTACTTCGGATTATCATGTGACAGATGAGGTCAACGCACGAATCCGCAAGGCTCGGGTTTCGGTTGCTAATTTGAAATACCTATGGCGTCAAAGCCGTATATCCCTGAATCTCAAGGGACCTGTGTATTAGGCTACAGCACGGGCAACTCTGTCGTATGCCTGTGAGACTTGGTCTGTTCGAGCAGCGGACTCAAGGGACGTATTAGGCTACAGCACGGGCAACTCTGTCGTATGCCTGTGAGACTTGGTCTGTTCGAGCAGCGGAACTGAAACGTCTACCTACATTCCAGAATCCTTGGCTCAGAACCATAGCTGATGTGGGTTAGTTTCGGAGAATCTGTAATCAGGTAATTATAAAACGAGCTTTCGATTGTGCAACGGGAACTTCCATTGAAGAATGTGTCCAGTACTATAAGATGCCGTGTATTGCGCATGACAACCATCGTTTTCCGAAGATAATACTGTTTTCGTGTCCAATTCATAGTGGCGGAAGCAGAGAGGTGGCCAACCCTTGAGCTACCAGGTGGGTTATGAAAGACATTACAAAGCGTTTGGGCGCTGTCGGTGCTCTTCTCCTTCCAGGATGAGAACCGCGTGAATTCCAATGTTCCTGGTTGGAGGCGCTGCAAGATATGGTGATGTCAGTGGCGTTCTTGTCAGGTTTCATCCAGATTGCCTGAATGTGTGTCTAAAGGTGTAGACGCCTCGGAATGATTGTGGTAGGCTAGCACCAGATCCCGTCCACTTTTATTGTTTTCTTCAAAATAAGGCTTTCAAATGGATCGTGGTTGTTTGGAAGCGAAGCATCAGTGTTGAACACTGATTGTATGCTGTCGATGATGGTGATGTTGATGACATATTCACACCGCCAAGTATCAGCAACTGCATGCAATCTTTTTGTTCCTTGGCTTCGTGGAGTCGTTTTGACGCCGCAAGTGATGCAACTTGATTCGGGCCTTTGCGATTCATCAGAATTCAGGCGCACTTCCGTCTGAGCTAATACAACTACCGAGATATGTAAAATTCTCCATAACTTCCGATGATTCCCCTTGAATTGTAGGGGGTATGTCCAGAGATGGTCTGTTACGAAACAGGACTTTGCACTCTAAAGGTGCAAGGCGCATGCCGTAAAACGCATTGATGGTGACCAGTCTATTCAAAAGGACTTGTGCTGCGCCGTCGTCTTTAAAGATGTCTGCGTACTCCAAATGGACAAGGCTCATTAACAGCGATTTGAACACGGGTTTTGAAGGCCTTCCAGCGTCCGGTTCATTATTTCATCAATGACGAAGCTAAATAAGAATGGAGAGAGTGTACATCCTTGCCGGACACCACTTTTCATAGGGAAGCTTTTGGAGAGCTCACCATACACTCACACGTCCAGAACTATGCAAATATAGGGCTTGGATTATGCTCACAAACTGGGACACACCTATTTGAGCAAGTGCGGTAAACAGCATTGACCGATCGACACAATCGAACCCGCTGTTGAAGTCGAGTGACATCAAAATTGTGAGCCCGTACAAATGGCGTTACCCCAACACCTGACGGATTGTGGAGATGTGGTGGACGCAGCCTCCTACCCAGTCGAAGTCCCACTTGGTGCTAACGTGTCAAGGATTTGCGTGCCACCGTTAGACACTGAAGGATCAGTGACACCAGAAGCCTGGTTACAACAGGAGTCGAAGCTACACTTCTGTGGTTATCATATCCACTGCGATTATCCATTTTGGAAATGGGCAGTATTATTGACTCACCTCAGTCATCTGGAACGGCCTCTTTTTCCCAGATAGACGCAAATAGGCTAGAGAGGCACTGGATGAGAAATTCGCCTCCATATTTGGAGAAAATGGGTGGAGGGTTGTCAGGACCAGGGGCGGCTAGCCTGGAAACAGGTCGGGCTAAGTCGGCGGAAAAGATACGTCAAAGGTCAGAGGGATATGGCTATGGATACGGCTAGAATGGTCCGTGGCATACCGGGCTTAGCGAAAGAACCCCTTTAAGTAGTTGGATTCTCCGGGAATCTCCATGGAGCTATGAGGCGGTTCGCGTCGGCAAGGTTGAAAATGGTTGGCAAATCAGCCGCATTGCCTTTACGGCGCTTTTCCGGAAATAGATTGGGTGTCCCGTCAGAAGTTGCTGTCGGACTAGTTCTACATTGACATGCCGCTGGTACTCTGCATTGAGCTGTGGTTCTCGAGAGCGACCGGCCAATTGAACATGGAGAATATGGTGCGAGTTGGCGGAGGTGCTGTTCGCCAGACTTAAGTCACAGTAAAAGCAAGACACTTAGCTAGTGGGTGTTGTGCCAACGAAAGCGGACCAGTTAACTGAGGGGCTCGCTACCTTGAAGACAAGCGCTGAGACGCACTGAAAGGAGCAGATGCTACGAAAGTGATATGGCTGGCCCCTGTCGGCCTCTTGCCTCAACCTGCCATGTGTCAATAATGATGATTTGGCTTGCTCATCTTGACTGAATGGGTTACGGTTCATGCAGTTACATAACCTACACTACATGTGGCAATTGGAATAGACAAGAAGAGCGAGTTGAGCTTACTCAAGCTAGGGTCAGGGACGTCTCTGGGGCAGAAAGGGAACGTCTACAGGTGTTCCAGAATCCTTGGCTCAGAACCATAGCTGATGTGGGTTAGTTTCGGAGAATCTGTAATCAGGTAATTATAAAACGAGCTTTCGATTGTGCAACGGGAACTTCCATTGAAGAATGTGTCCAGTACTATAAGATGCCGTGTATTGCGCATGACAACCATCGTTTTCCGAAGATAATACTGTTTTCGTGTCCAATTCATAGTGGCGGAAGCAGAGAGGTGGCCAACCCTTGAGCTACCAGGTGGGTTATGAAAGACATTACAAAGCGTTTGGGCGCTGTCGGTGCTCTTCTCCTTCCAGGATGAGAACCGCGTGAATTCCAATGTTCCTGGTTGGAGGCGCTGCAAGATATGGTGATGTCAGTGGCGTTCTTGTCAGGTTTCATCCAGATTGCCTGAATGTGTGTCTAAAGGTGTAGACGCCTCGGAATGATTGTGGTAGGCTAGCACCAGATCCCGTCCACTTTTATTGTTTTCTTCAAAATAAGGCTTTCAAATGGATCGTGGTTGTTTGGAAGCGAAGCATCAGTGTTGAACACTGATTGTATGCTGTCGATGATGGTGATGTTGATGACATATTCACACCGCCAAGTATCAGCAACTGCATGCAATCTTTTTGTTCCTTGGCTTCGTGGAGTCGTTTTGACGCCGCAAGTGATGCAACTTGATTCGGGCCTTTGCGATTCATCAGAATTCAGGCGCACTTCCGTCTGAGCTAATACAACTACCGAGATATGTAAAATTCTCCATAACTTCCGATGATTCCCCTTGAATTGTAGGGGGTATGTCCAGAGATGGTCTGTTACGAAACAGGACTTTGCACTCTAAAGGTGCAAGGCGCATGCCGTAAAACGCATTGATGGTGACCAGTCTATTCAAAAGGACTTGTGCTGCGCCGTCGTCTTTAAAGATGTCTGCGTACTCCAAATGGACAAGGCTCATTAACAGCGATTTGAACACGGGTTTTGAAGGCCTTCCAGCGTCCGGTTCATTATTTCATCAATGACGAAGCTAAATAAGAATGGAGAGAGTGTACATCCTTGCCGGACACCACTTTTCATAGGGAAGCTTTTGGAGAGCTCACCATACACTCACACGTCCAGAACTATGCAAATATAGGGCTTGGATTATGCTCACAAACTGGGACACACCTATTTGAGCAAGTGCGGTAAACAGCATTGACCGATCGACACAATCGAACCCGCTGTTGAAGTCGAGTGACATCAAAATTGTGAGCCCGTACAAATGGCGTTACCCCAACACCTGACGGATTGTGGAGATGTGGTGGACGCAGCCTCCTACCCAGTCGAAGTCCCACTTGGTGCTAACGTGTCAAGGATTTGCGTGCCACCGTTAGACACTGAAGGATCAGTGACACCAGAAGCCTGGTTACAACAGGAGTCGAAGCTACACTTCTGTGGTTATCATATCCACTGCGATTATCCATTTTGGAAATGGGCAGTATTATTGACTCACCTCAGTCATCTGGAACGGCCTCTTTTTCCCAGATAGACGCAAATAGGCTAGAGAGGCACTGGATGAGAAATTCGCCTCCATATTTGGAGAAAATGGGTGGAGGGTTGTCAGGACCAGGGGCGGCTAGCCTGGAAACAGGTCGGGCTAAGTCGGCGGAAAAGATACGTCAAAGGTCAGAGGGATATGGCTATGGATACGGCTAGAATGGTCCGTGGCATACCGGGCTTAGCGAAAGAACCCCTTTAAGTAGTTGGATTCTCCGGGAATCTCCATGGAGCTATGAGGCGGTTCGCGTCGGCAAGGTTGAAAATGGTTGGCAAATCAGCCGCATTGGCTGGACAGCGCTTTTCCGGAAATAGATTGGGTGTCCCGTCAGAAGTTGCTGTCGGACTAGTTCTACATTGACATGCCGCTGGTACTCTGCATTGAGCTGTGGTTCTCGAGAGCGACCGGCCAATTGAACATGGAGAATATGGTGCGAGTTGGCGGAGGTGCTGTTCGCCAGACTTAAGTCACAGTAAAAGCAAGACACTTAGCTAGTGGGTGTTGTGCCAACGAAAGCGGACCAGTTAACTGAGGGGCTCGCTACCTTGAAGACAAGCGCTGAGACGCACTGAAAGGAGCAGATGCTACGAAAGTGATATGGCTGGCCCCTGTCGGCCTCTTGCCTCAACCTGCCATGTGTCAATAATGATGATTTGGCTTGCTCATCTTGACTGAATGGGTTACGGTTCATGCAGTTACATAACCTACACTACATGTGGCAATTGGAATAGACAAGAAGAGCGAGTTGAGCTTACTCAAGCTAGGGTCAGGGACGTCTCTGGGGCAGAAAGGGAAGGAAGCTGTACGCGAACCGTACGTGCTAGCGTTTAGGGACTTGGGTATAGGCGACAACAGGGCAACAGGATTTTGAGGCAGATGGTTTTATGTCATTTCTTTAGAAATACGGAATCCGTTGTAGACACGAAGCGATGTAAGCTGATGATAAAGTATGTCGCCGTCAGGCCCGACGGTTACCCGGATCTACCCTGATCAAACTGCGCGTATGAAGTATTCCGTTAGTACAGCCTGTGGTTGATTATTACGTAGAACTGTTCACAGGCGAGGAAGACGTTTTCGGCTTCGGCCCGTGGATGGAGCAGGAAATTCCCCCGTCTCTCGAATGCTTTCGACCACATGGACCTCATCAGATACCGCTTCATCTACGACTGTGGCTCAGTGGTTAGAGCGCGAACTCATTGACCGGAAGCTCTGTGGTTCAAAATCGACCTCTGCCTCTCGACTTCTATCTGGGTCTCGGCAACCTGGCAGTATCTCAGCCCTCCTGCTTCCTTTGGAACGACCCGACCTTCCCGACCTAAAGCTGCCAACTTGACGTGGTGGTTGGGCTTGAGTGCTGCAGCGATCCCGCGGGCTACACTGGCTGGAACTTCGTTCCACAAGGTGCAACCATGCCAGGAAGGCCAAAGGGGAGCAGCGAGACCCGGCACTATGAGTAATCGTGCTACGAGGCGGTCTGGGGGTAAAGTCGTACTGTCCTCTGCAACAGGAGTGTGAAGGCAGTAAAGTGTTCCCCCCAGGCGACCAGCATGTCCATATTTATGGAAGCAGCGATGCTGCCTTCCCCTGAGGAAGGACGGGTTAGAAAATTTCGGCCCCAAAAATCGCACACTCCGATTGCCCAGCGGTTGACCATGACTGCCGGCGCATTATCCAATACGGTCGAAATACTTTTAAAACCAAAGAGCCCGGTGGTGCTCAAAAGGCACCTGCTGTGCGCAGCCGCATCAGGAATGAGACAGTAATGCCTTATTCCCTGCGCCCTCGGGTTGGGCCAACCCTCTGCAGCCGAGCAGGTCAGACTGTTGACTCGTCGGCTCCGGGTATGGTCCCCTAAGAAAACCCTACATTTTCCCACTGCCTCGTGGGTCAGACTTTTGAGTCAGAGGCTAGGGTTAGGGTCCCCGAAAAAAACCCTACGTTATCCCATTGCTTTGTGGGTCAGACTTTTGAGTCAAAGGCTCAAGGTGGGGTACCTCAACCAAACCCCCTTCCTCGGCCTGGGCAACCGGGAAGTATCATTTGCCCGCGCAGTACAGCGTCCACTGATGTCCCTCCCCAACCCCTTCCCACTGCACAAGCAAACGTCGCTGGACCATTTGACTGTCAGTCATCTGACCGAAGGGCCTTGTGCTCCTCGCTGCCTACAATCATTAAACAAAATAACACCTAAATCCACAAGATCCTTTCTATATAGGAGCTTTTAACGTCCGTAGTCTATGTCAACTTGGCAAACAGGCAATGCTTGATGAAACCTTGTACTCCCTTAAAATCGATGTATGCTGCGTCTCCGAAACACGCATACAAGACCCGAGCGTTGTTCTGCATCTCAGAACGCCAAGGATGAACTCAGCTCATCCAGTTCAATCAAGCTCAATGCCTCGCGGCATAAAAAGCGGTGCCTGTTTGTCGTGTCGGCTTATGCCCCAACGGACTGTAGTTCTGATGCGGAGAAGGATACTTTCTATCGAGATCTATCCGGGCTCATTCGACAGGCAAAAAGCACTGACATTGTGATCCTTGCAGGCGATTTGAATGCTCAAGTAGGTCGTCTGAGCTCCTTGGAATCACATTTGGGTGGTCGTTTCGGAGTCGATGCTCGCCGCACAGACAACGGAGATCGACTCCTTCAGCTGTGTGCTGATCACGAACTGTTTCTGGCAAGTACGAACTTTCAGCATAGACGTTCGCATCTACGAATTGAAAGGGTATTACAGCTAAACGATTTATTTCGATTGTGACTGAGGTCCACATATAGATGCGAGAAATGTTTGAAAATGGTATATTGTAGGTAGTTAGCATTGTATACAACTCCCCGGTTGTCCTGAATGGACGAGAAATACCGATTTTCATCTGATTTCCGGTTCTCTGTTCATTGGCCTTCACCCTTTCCACTGCGGTCAATTCATCACCCAGTCCCTTGACCGCTGTTCTGTGTCTAAACTCACAGGTCTCAATTGCAGTCTTCAGTGTCCACACTCAGTCAACCTGGACAACGACTGTCTCTCGCTAAAGTCAAACTTTCCATTTCCGTCGATGTATGTTGCCTTCCAAACACACATACAAGACCTTACTTCGATTGTACACCTCATGCTGTTTTGGAGAGTTCATATGTTTCGCGCTTCACTCTGATGTTATTACTGGTTCGATGGTTGGTTGTGTCCATGGTGTGGGGGTTGCATTCAGTCCTAGGGACTGGAAAGGCTTTACTGGACTGTCCCAGTAGTCAGTCGTCTTTGCGTCATACGGTTGTCTGACCCGATTAAGATCGATGCAATTCGATGTGATGAACTACGTTTACTTGCCCTGTCAGCATACGTCCCGACGGACAGCGGTTCTGGAGGTGGAAAATTTGAGTTTTATCGATATCTGTCTCTTCTGTTTCGGTCAGCAACAAGAACGGCTATGGTCATTCGGCTGGTGATATGAACACCCAGGTTAGACGACCAAGCCCGGGAGAAGCACGGTTAGTTCGGTTAGGTTGTGTACCGGACATCATCTGTTACTGGCCAGTACGAACGTCCAGCATAAGCAACCACACCTAGCTACATGGGAGCTGCTAACTACAAACCTGTCATGGGCTCGGTTGGACCATGTGGCTCAGTTACTGATGGCCTCACCTAAAGGTTGCCGTTCCTCCTGGCCCACGCAGCTTGACTCCAGTCATGCATTTGTGTGGGCTCATCACTTAGGCTTACTTCAGGAATACGGATATCAAAGCAGAGCAGTTCCGCTCATCAGCTCTCGGGTGTTTCAGTATCCTAATAATAGTAATGATAATACTCGTTCAGCTGTAACACCCTTTTGGTGCTTAGCTGCCATGCCACCCGAAAAAATCACAAGAGGTGAGATACTGCCAGGTTTCTCAGGGCTAGACCGGAGCATTCAAGAGGCCGAAGTTGGTTTTGAATCGCAAGCTTTCCGGCCTGAATCACCGAGTTATTTCGAGCTCAACGAGTGTCAGTAGTTCAAGTGGATCCAGCTTGTCTGGCTAGCTACTGGAAATACAGTCATGCTGATGGTAAAAATTTACTAGGGTGAATTAAAGAGGGTAAAAGAAGCTGTGCTCTTAGCTGTCAGGAATTTTTCCAGGCCATTCAATTTGACCAAATAAACGCCGGATATCGTCGAGATTTACACATTGTTGTACCTACCGACTACAATGGCGCATTCTAATCTCTCAAACGTCGTGAGGACCATCTGCCTAGCAGAGCTACTAGCCCAGTTCTGTGCTGAGCAGAAGCGGTCGAGAACTATAGTGTCCATGACCTGGATATGAACTATAACAGTGTTTTTTCCAGGTCAATTTGACCAAATAAACGCCGGATATCGTCGAGATTTACACATTGTTGTACCTACCGACTACAATGGCGCATTCTAATCTCTCAAACGTCGTGAGGACCATCTGCCTAGCAGAGCTACTAGCCCAGTTCTGTGCTGAGCAGAAGCGGTCGAGAACTATAGTGTCCATGACCTGGATATGAACTATAACAGTGTTAAACAGTGAACGCAATCAAGTGGACAGCTGCCACCTGCTTGGTTGGAGATTTTGGGACTTATCAATGGTTTATGACACTGGCGAACTTGGCTCAATCACGCCGTCAGTGGCGCTCCTGCATCATATCTATTGCCTTCATTGCGTACTAGCTTCCTGTCCCCTCAGATAAGCGGACTTATTCATAACGAACCTATTGAGCACACCAGCACCTCCAATATTCACCTTTCCCCTCTGTTTGCAGGTGAGCGAAACTGTAGAGACCGGAACCAATGTATCTGTGGTACATGATTTGAACGGAGTGACGCCAAGTCTGATATTAGCTGTGCTTGAAGTCGTGAAAATTTATCACTCGTCCCAGGAATCTCGTTATTCTACTGGGTTTAACTCGCGCTCTGACAGATGGACATCGAACGAGAAGAGCGGGAGAAAAAGGCATCTATGATTGAGGATAATCAATGTCGATTCAGAAGAATAACTTTTGGGCTGTTCCGGACATTATTCACTTTCCGGCGCTGGATCGTTCGTTTCTTGAAGGGACTAAAGAATGTTACCATGTATGGAGGCGATATTGTCGTGTGCAGCGATCCGGACCAGGAACATGCAGCACACTTGAAATTTATGTTGGACAATTCACTCGAAATTTAATGACACTACGCGGTCATAATTTGGGCCATGAAGTCAAGCCACTGCCGAAGGAGTTAGCCTAGCTCACGAATTTCACGCCCTGGTCTTTTTTGGGGGGAAGGTTTGCGTCTGGAAGGCAAATGTGGAGGCTTATTTTGCGCATTAGTAGATGTCTCTCAAGAAGCGTCACCTTTGAGCCGAGTCTTGTGGAACCTTCCGGAGTGGTCTTTGTAGGGTGGAGGAAGGTATCCCTGGCGAAAGCAAGGCTTAGAGGTGATTTTCTGTGTATAGTCTATTCGTATTTTCCCGATGATTTATTTTGATTTATCAATTGTGGTAAAACATTGCAATCTCTTGAAAAAAATAAAACTTTCCATACCTCGTATTCTTCAAACTATTTTCAAGTGGTGCAGAATTGGTTGTACAATGCAGATATTCTAACTCATTTCCTTTTTAATGAAAATATCAGATGGTCTCACCAATGCGGACAGTTGTATGCCGGCCGAGGTTGGTGAAAACAATGTTCCTCTCCTCAGTCGCGAAGTGGAAGCCGATGAAACATCGGCCAAACGACTCAAAACGGCGGCCTCCGAGTGTCTTACTCCGCTGGACGGGTCACTTGATTCCAGATTAAGCGAAGTTGTGATCAAGCCAGAGGATGAAACGTTGTGTCGGATGAACGTCACGGATGACTGTACGGTTGAAGAGCTTGTAGGAGCTGAGGAATCCTCAACCGATGTCAGTAGTACAAAGCCATGTGATTCCACACCTCGTTCCGCCAGTTTATCGAGTTCGGCTTCCGCCAATCTGTTTGGATCCTGGAGGGCTGGGCAGTCTCGCGATGATGCGATTCTTCTTGGTGATTCGGATGATGAACAAGAAAAGGTGCATGCTATTTCTTGCTTTCACTTTTTGAGTTTTTATAGCCTGTAAGTTTCATGGTGCGTTACCAATCAGAAACTACCGCGACCGTTCTATTTGCCTTTAATTTTGTTCTATTCAGTTCTTGACCTAGAACGAATATCCTTCGAAGATATCCTTCTCTGTTTAGACATATTCCCCAACAAAGTCAATGGCTGTCTTAATCAGATAGATTTGGCCTACGTTTCACCTCTAATCAGCTACAAAGTTTTAATTTTCAGTGAGCACATTGTCGAATCTTGTCTAAAACCAGTCTACTGAGGTTTGTCTATGGTTCGAGGGTTTGTTAGTTCTCTAAGTAACATTATCATCTTTCCTGATTCATTCACCCACAGCATATGGCCTCAGATGTCATTGAACTTAGTGATGGTGAAGAGGAGCCAGAAGAACCGGAGGTTGAAACGGAGATATGCGAACTGCAAGACGCCGCAAATCTAATGGATGAAAGAGGCCGGGTTGTGTTAAATCCTAACCGGGACTCGGAAACAGAATGCGAAATTTGTTTACCCCCACAAATCGCCCGAGTGATCAAACCACATCAGGTGAGTTGTGGAATATGATGGTGTGTCTCGACAACTTTTGAAATCTCCACTTTTTCGCCAGGTGGTTCTTTTAGATAGCGGAGAGTAGTTTTGGTTCACTGCTCACACAACCGCTTTATGCGTAGACCTATAACCATCTCCTTACGAAATGAAGCTCTTAGAACGTTTTATTTTGGGGCGCACGCGTGCTTAGTTATGCATTTTGAAGAATATGGGAAACCCAAAAGCACACTTCTATTAATTCAATGACACTAAACAGTCAATAGTCTCGGAATAAGGTATGGGTCACTTAAAACTGTGAGATCCCTTTCTGTGGACGGTTTTAAAGGGATATGTATTATTTTTTTCATCAAGTCTCTTGGTAGAAACTCATGGGATACTTAGTTGTGTATGACAGCATTGTTGGGCGCTATGTAAGACACTGTAGTCTGCATACCCAGACCCATATACCGTGCAAGACATTGAATACTACTTTCTAGAATACCATGCTGGTTGTTATCTGCATATATCCATGCATGGGCTCGGATTCTCGGAATTCGTTCTGCAAACACGGTCAACCGGCTAGCGTCTGATCAAATATCCAATCACAAACAGCCCACTGAGCCACTATGGTCAGTTGGATTGTTGTCTATTGGACTGCTGGTGGTTCTCAACAGTCACTCTCCGCCTACGATGAAACCACCGCAACATTCATCTAAGGTTTGGCCTTTACTGCTTTAGTTAAATCGATCGCTCCTGTCGCTTATAAAACCCCCTCCCAGCATCTGTCAGTGGATCAATATTGCCACTAACAGCTCTTAGAAGTTCATTGTCCTGATGATATTATTCGTTAAGTGTACTTTCATATCAAGCGATTTCGTTTTCATTCTGGGTGTCCTGTTTTGAGGAGTCATCACATATATGCATATACCTCATTTGGTGACCAGGAACATGATACCTCCTAAATGAAGAAACTGAAAAACTGTCCGAAAGCCACTGCCGATTCCATCATTTCAACGTTTTACTGTTTGCTTCTTAGCCTGTTAAATAATCGCCTTCGTGGTTCTCCTTCATTGCATAGACTTCCCAGACAGCAAAAAGGTCATTAAAACAATACTGCTATGCATGGTGCCCCTCATGGGTAACCCCATCGAGGAGGCAGTTCTATCGGTACGCGGTTTTTCGACTTCAGTCCTCCTTGAAGAAATGAACCTCTCGGGTGGGACACTTGGGTTATCCAGGTGGTTGATTTACTCCGCATGGGAAGCGTCACCCTATGCCACTGATTTAAAACAGCTAGTCGACTGCCATATTAAACGGTCTTCATCACCATCATCAACAGCGCAAAGTCAATGTTGAACACAGGTGCAATGGCACGTTGTTGGAAGTAACCTTGTTGTGAAAATAGAATGAGAAGGGAGAGGGAAGAGACCTCGGGCTAGCAAACTGCAAACGCTCCGAGGCTGCTACATTTCTAAGCGTCCAGTCAGACTATCCGAGTAAAAAGTGACATCAGTGGGGCCATTGGCATTAGTTGGTAACCATTTCATACGGCATCTTTTGCAGAGCCCCAGTATTATCACAGATGCAATCCGGGGTCAGTCGCACCGACTTTTCTACATCGTTTTCGCACTTTTATACCATGTCGGTCAAACACTTTGGACTAGACAAATAAACAACACTCCATGAAGTCGACAACTTTTGTGCGATACATGATCATACTACCTCAACTTACCAACCACGGCGCGTTCTTATTCAGTAAATTCCCCTTAGCCTTTTCTAGTTGCAGATCCGTTTGCACTAGCATGCATGAGCTGTGATTTTACGACAACGGCTATCCACGACTCGCTCGTAGTGGTCCCACGCCACAGTTATACAATCAAACACACTCGGAGATTAGGTAATATCGCTATTTATTGCTTTAACGACCTTGGTTTAAGCCTCAGATGTTTGTACATTCAGCTAAGCTGCTACACCATGGTATGAGTTAATACAACTTACAGGATATTTAATCTCCCCACGATTCCAAGCTCCCCTGTGCGAATTGAAGGTGAATTCACAACTGCCATATCTCCTTGTCTTCTTCGGAAGCCATCGATAACATAAGGTTTGCTGTCCCACTCCATTCACGAATTTTTCCTGAATGTACTTGCCGATAACTTTGCATGAGGTAAATCCCCACTACCATTCGTTTCAACCAAGCTGTAGTGCTTCGGAAGGTATTGGATCTGGAAAATAGGGTGGTAGTGTGCGACTGTTGAATATTTTTCAAGTCCCAAATATTACTCTCGCCTTGCGTCATTTCAGCTTTGAGTTTTGTGATAAGTCACCCAAATTCAAGAATTTAACATTCACATCACAGTCATCATCCTGTTTTGGTATACTTATTCCGGGGAGCCCACCTTAAAGGGAAAAGCACTAGACTCGGGTTCAGCTTTCGTTAGAGCTCGTCACCAGTGCATGTTCTTGGCCGTGTTGAAGTTTGAACTCCAGACCTCCGATATGTAGGACGAGCGTGCTACCACTATTCGACCGGCATATGCTGAACGCACCTGAAATATCACGTCTGAACAAGTTAACATGTTCACGTTTGCTTGATGTGATTGGTTTGCTATGTGGTGTAACTTTCAGTTGCAGGGGCTTGGATGCTAGGGTGCTCATGGTCCTATGTGTCCTGGCATATATGAAAGAGCGCTTGATCTCCGGAGCGACAGTTGTTGCAACACACTCAAAAATGCCCTTTAAAGAACCTCGATACAATCAGGATTTCTTTATTCTCGCACGGAAAACGTACAATGTCGTTCTTATTAATCATGCCCATCTACGAGGACCTATCCAATCGTGGAGACATTTTTGCTATCCCAGAAGGTATTTCTTTGAGATAAAGGAAGTGCCGTACCGAACGTAATAATGAGTACCTCAGGCTCATACGCTTTCTGTGCCTCGTGTTTGATGGTAAGAACTACATGATTTCTCGTAGGGTTTCCACTGTGCTAACTTAGCTGGAAGTATTTCCTCTCTCACTATTTATAATTTTGGGTCGCCGGAAAGTTTTTTTCATATAGCCACAGTCGAACTCCTTGAACATATCAGAATACGTGCGAGCTGCGAAAACTTGAGTTTTGTACTCTAGAACTGGATGGTAGAGATCACAAAGATGTCACGTCAACTGCTGACCTTAACGTGCAGTAGCACATGAGAACTAGACCGAGTACCATGAGTTTACTAATCTTGAAAGCAGATTGAACAAGAGAGGAATAATCTCTTTGAGTTGCCACGAGCTAGGACACGTGTTGATTTCGATTTCTGAAAGCAGTTACTGTCTGTATTTCTCCTTCAGGTTAGCGGAATCAGGTTCCTCTACGACAATGTGATAGAAAACCAACAGCGATTCGAGACTACTGATGGATTCGGTTGTATTCTGGCCCACAGCATGGGTCTTGGAAAAACTATCCAGATTATTGGATTTTTGGACACAATTTTTCGTTACTGCAATGTGAAACGAGTGTTGGTCATTGTGCCGATCAACACAATTCAAGTATGTCGTTCCTTTTTTCAAGCACCACTAGTAATGCGAAGCCATTGTTCAACCTCATACATGTAACCAATTCTTGCTTTTAGTTACTCCGTCTAACTTAAATATGCAGTCGTCCCTCTGGGGAGACCACTCTCTCCCTCTGTCTCGTTGGAGTCATTCAGCCGTTACACCCCATCGGTGCATTGCTTTCATGCTACCAGGAGGAAGCACGAGGGCCGAAATACTGTCAGGTTGCCCAAGCATAGACAGGAACGGTTGAGATGCTGAGACGGTCCGAACCGCGGACACTTACCACTGAGTTATCTCGAGCTCGCCAGAATAGGCCAATTCCGATCGGTTCTCGTGGGTATTCTGTAGCCGGACAATGGTGCTCTATTTTTTGTAGGTTAACAACATTGCTTTTTCATTCGTAAGTTTTCCACATTCGTCCCTCTAAAAAATCGGTTGCCTAAAAAACATCTTGTCAGTAGAGCTTTTTATATCTCAAGTGTGAGCGGAAATAAAATGAATATTATTTGATTGGTGCATTTAGTTTTACCAGAAGTTATCAACCCCTTGAGTCTTAAGGATTCTGTCACCTTGCCATACTACGCCTAATTTGTTTTTTTTCCTGAAACGGATATTTTCTCAGTAATACACACATTTTTACCGATTTTTACGGAGCGAGATGTTTCAATGGTTGGAGCGCGAATTTACTGAGCGGGTCAGTGGCTCGATTCCGACCCCTCGACTTCCCCTGTCTAGGCTGGGCAACCTGGCTGGCAGCCAGCCCTCGTGCTTCCTCCGGATGGCATGGCACCGAAATGTTGTTACAGCCGGACGATTTTTTTTTACGGATTTTTACTTGTGTTAATTTGTCTCCGGTTTCATACCTGATGTCTAACAAGGTGTCCTAGGGAAGAAGCATCTAATTAGAGGAAAACAGATCCATATTGAATCCTCAGAAGGAGCATTGATTCACTGTACTTGTGTATGTCTATTTTGCGTTCCAGAACTGGCAAGCGGAGTTTGAGTTGTGGTTGCCCACTGATAGACTCAAGCAAAGCCGTTTTTGGTCTAAAGTGGCGTCGGATTCGGTTGCAGTCACAACTGCAGACACCAACACTGCGATGTCATCTGGGGAAATTACTGAGGAATCTACATACGACCAGCACACCTTCTCTGAATTGTTTTCTGAGCACAGTGGTCAGGTAGATGGCACGACTGAAAAACCGATGGAGCAATCATTCGGCTCGACTGAAACCGTTCCTCTTTGCAAATCTGAGGAATTCGAGAGGCAAAATGGTATCGAGCAGCGTGGGAATTTACGTTCGTTCAAACTGTTTGTTGTACGAGACGTTGTCAAAACGATGACACAACGACACCAAGTTAGTAACATTCAAATCTTTCTTGTACCGTGCACACACTTCGGGCTAACTTCTTTCAGGTAATCATCCGCAAGCTGGAACATTATCTTTAACAGAGTATAGATTCGGTTGTCATACCCCACACCATTTTACGCAAACATCCGGTTAGTAGACATTGGGCTTCGGTCAATAAACACTACGCTTGGCTACACTACTACGGCTTATGGGCTCTGTTAGTCCTTCGCCTATATCCTGATTGACTAGTTATCGGAAATACTGTCCGTTGAATCGTTCCTTTGACCGTGCGGAGTTACTATTGTTTCGTGACGTGACCACTTCTTATTATCAAAGTAAGCTTCGAAACNAGGGAAATGTCACCTTTTTATTCATCATAATTGGTATTTTAGTCTGTCGTAGCACACAAGCGTAATAACTTGGTGAGAATTCAGTAGCGCGCTCGTTGTGAGAACTTTTTATCGGTCTGCTGTCGGCCCTGACTCCTCCAGAGCGTTGCGAAGAATTCCCGCCTGACTGCTACACGAAGCTACCATCTTGATTGCATGACCATGGGTCGTTCGCTTTGAGGTTCTGTCATGGACACTGACAACGCCGGTACCTCTGTATCTCTAGATCATCGGCGAAAGAACCTAAGGCTATAACCACTGTACAGTAAGTACATGGCTTTTTGCGGCCGAAGATAATGATGAGTGGACTCTATATCCCGAATGGAAGTTCGGGAACTACGATTCACACTAGACAGTACTTCGCACAAGGTTTCGAATCAAGTGGTAGTTTCGTTAGGTCTTTGGTGAACAGGTTTCCGAGCTACGATGTCCGGTGCTCCTTTTGCCTTCCCAAACGATAGTTGAAAAGCATCAGCCTCCTTGCTTACTCTTGAATATGCGCCTGTGCAGCACGACGGATTGGTCGAGGCGTTTACGGACTATCCGGAGGTGAACTGCTTAAACTAACTGGCCACCACGTCGATTGGATGGATGTATTCGCGAGCTCAGCACATAGGCCAGTCGGAATAAGGCAGTGAAACATGTGTCAATACTGATGTTGCTGCCTCTGATGATGATGATGGAATAGGACATTTTTATTCCGGGTTTCTCGCCAGTCACAAAGACTCTGGTTTGAAAAATTAGGTAGTAACTTTATAATGGGTGTCTCAAGCTACCCCATCTTTTGATATGTCAAAGTGAACGGAACAGCAAGCCAAAGACGAGCACGGGAGTTACAAGTCAGTACGGATGGATTCAGCTGTCTCGACACAATACTTAAGTGCATCAGTGCTATCCTTACGTTTGTCATACTAAGTTTCCCCTGTGGCTTGGTGATTAGAAAATCTAATAAAGCCATGTCCTTCAGTAATTACGCGATTGCTTGCCACGAGCGGTCGAGGTATCCATCTTCATGCCTGTTGCTACCTATTACCGGATTTTCCTCGAAAAGTTGTTGCATAACCAGTTTATTTCTGGTCTAGTTTTCAAGTCCCAGTATTTGTTCCCCACCTGTCATTGGTTGTGAAGGAGACTGTTGTTAACTTAGGAAGCATGGTATCATTGGATTGTTTGTTGAGCTAGGTCGTTTGGCTGTAAACTTCTCACTACCAATCGAGTTGGCGTTAGCAGGCAGAGTAGCCAAGTGACTTTTGTTGCTACTTTCTCATGGAGGATTCGTGGAACTCTTATGGGTTGCTAGTTATCATCACATCCATTTGATGACTTAAAAAGCAGGATAGAACTCATCACACCCTTGTCTGTGGTTGCTGGTCCTTTAGCTACTGATGTTACGGATGATATAAAATTAACAGAGCTTACCCCGCTGTTGAACCGCGTTAATTTTTTATCCTTTCATGTTAGCATATCAGGACACAGGGCTTGAAGAACTTTATACGGCCTGTGTCGTATAGACATTTTATTTCTCTAGCCCACCACTTGTTGTTGAGTTGCCATACTACATGCACGCACGATTAGTCCGTGAAATATCGATCGGTGTGTGACCGTAACGTTCACGACGTTAGTTTTTTTCACGCTGACTGTACCTGCGACAGAATATAGATCCCTCTGAGTACTTTACGGCTCTACTTAGCTGCCATCACAGCTTCCTTACTGAATGGACAAGAATGACTGGTGCTTGATAAGAAACGCCAACTGGCTTTCTGAAACTAAGTGGCTTCTTGCAATCTGACACAGACTATCATGCCCTTTCCCTCCATCCAGATCGTCAATCAATGGTTTGAGGAGGGAGGAGTTCTTCTACTAGGCTATGAGATGTTTCGTCTGCTTCTGAATCAAAAGCGTGGAGTGACCAAGGCAGAGATTCGTGCTTTCTCGCGGCGTAAGAAAAAGACCATTTGTTTAGACCTGATTGAAGAGGAGAGACGGGAAAAGATGTTAGCAGGTTAGTGGTTGATACTGTTCCTCAAGGATTGAATGTTTATTCCAAGTTTATTCGGTGTCTTTTCGTACCGTGTGGTTTTTGTCCATGACCCGCAGAAACAAGCTTACCGATTGTGCTGCTCACTGACGGGATCTCTTTGAAGGGTTCAAGCACCTCTTTGAAGGCACCACCCCTTGACTCGGTTATCAGGGCCGATGCCGTCACTGTCGTTTGGTGACCGTGCTTCCACCAATCAGTTTGTAGTGCTGTTAGTGCTTATGGATTGTCCAAAGCTTCGTGTATTTTGTATATGTTGTTGTGTGTGCTGAAGATTGGTTGTCTTACATCGCACACCTCTTTATCTTCAGGTTCCCTTGTTGTTTCCATAGTGTTGAAAAAATTCGCTCTAAAAGTGACCGTCAACCTGAACTACAGTGGACATCAATACCCATCTACTTTGTTTCCTTTGCTTAAAACCTTTTAAAATGCACTCATTTCCGGAGACCAACTGGCCTAACTCTAATGTTTTTCTGGTAATCACAGATTTTCACGCCGCCCTTATCGACCCCGGTCCCCAGCTCGTCATCTGTGATGAAGGCCATCGGATTAAGAATAGTGAAGCTTCTATCTCCAAAGCTTTGAAGGCCATAAAAACACGGTAGGTTATGGTCAATTTTCGTCTCTACGAGCATATTAGGATCACTTCAACTATGTGAATTATCCTCATGGTTTATGTTTTCGCTTATTTGCATGACATTTTGTGCAGTTGGGAATTTGACTTCGGGCGTGTTCAGCCCTGGAGAATAGCATTTTCTCTCAATTTTGCGCAGTTAGGATCGGTATGCTACCACAGATGTTGGCATAATTGTTTTTTCCAATTAATATACTTTGTTCTGATCCTACATGTTTACAGAGCAACTTTATATGCTACAATCTACATTACAAAAGATGTATTTGCGCTAACTTGAAAACCCAGATTCCGAACTCCCGTTGAAGAAATTCAGGTGCGCATTGTTGTATCCACTTCGTCACAGTCAGTTTCATATCGGCAGTACCAGCATACCGGTGCCCTTAAAGACTACTTTTCCTCGGACGAAACATATACAACTACAGTTCCACGAAGTGTTCCTTCGTTTCTGAATCGTAGAGTTACGCCAACGTTCCGTCCTCTCTCAACAGATCGAGAAGAACGTGTCTTCGTTGATACATTTCCACTGTTCGCCATGTTGGACCTTGACTGCCTGGGTACTCAGTTTGCACGCGCCCCTCGATATCTCACGTCTTCCACTACCTCCAATAGAGCGTTATGACGAACCAGTTTTAATGCAGACTCACATGTTGTACGAATCATTTTGCCCACACACCGATAATTCTTGGTGGTGGCCGAGTTTAGTGCTCCGTCACTGTGTGAGCTGTCTTCAAAACTGGTTTCACTTTCTTTAAACTTCCATCTGTGCACAGCGTTAATGCCATCTTCTCCACAAACGCCCATGGCCTTCTGTGGTTTTCATACGGGTTGCACCATTGCTTAAATAACTCAATGACAATCCGTAGGTCGTACCTGGAATGCATTAGTAGCCTGCGGTGAAAGCAACGGGTGATATAGACGAAGAGTTACGGGAATTGGATTGGAGTCAACAAAAAGCTGGACCAATTTTGCGTTTTTCGATGGAGTTCTCTCCTTAGGCAAGAAGTTTCCCCTTTTTTGACAAATCTGAGCGCGGAAATTCCAATTAAGTCACAGTTTAGGGTTCCAATACTCTTGGAAGCAAAATTGAGTCCGTCCCCTCCGTAAGTCCCGATTTCCATACAGTTTTTGGGACGCTAGACTTCCATTGGTACGATACATCAAGTTTTAATCTCCTTCAGAATTTCCAAGTACCGCTGCGTTTCTCTGGGCCAAGTTTACCTATTGCTTATAGTTGGTACCGATTCACTGGAGAGAATCATTCAGTGGTCACGATGGAGCTCTGGTGGCTGCACCTTGACCACAATGAACACTTAAACTCGCTTTCAGTTTGTCTAAACCAAACTGCTTTTAATTCGCTGTAACCCAACCCCATAATTATTTCGTCCCTAGCAACCGCGCCTGTGGACCACCTTCATCATTCACCACTTTCCTGACCTAGATATCACACCACAAGCACAGGGTGTATCTAATTGCCACCAATCATATCGATTTTGGCTTGGGTCATCAAGAAACTGTACCTTGACATGTTGATCGAAAACCTTATTCTTTTACACCGCTCACTTCTTTTTTAGCGCTGAATCGTATCCTTTATTCACGCACAGAGAGTATGTGTACTTTCTTCCTGGAAGAGTATCCTTTCCGTCTTTAAGCTACTTTTATATATTTTTTTCTTGGTTTCCTGACAGGCGCCGTGTTGTGCTTACGGGTTACCCCCTGCAAAACAACCTCATGGAGTACTGGTGCATGGTAGACTTTGTGCGCCCAAGCTATTTGGGGACGAAACAGGAATTTACCAACATGTTCCAAAGACCAATTGAAAATGGCCAATGTATTGATAGCACACCGGAAGATCGCAAGGTCATGCAAGGCCGTGCCCATGTTTTACATGACCTTTTATCGGGATTTGTTCAGCGTCGGTCCCATGTAGTGCTGAAAGCTAGTCTTCCTCCAAAAACGGAAATTGTGCTTCTCATTAAACTCTCTCCTCTCCAACGTACACTCTATGCAGCTTTCATGAAGAGTCTCAACTCCAGCGGGCCTCTAGGGTGGGCACAAGTGAACACTCTGAAGACCTATGCGATGTGTTGCAAGGTACGTGAGATCAGATGTAGTAACGGTTCTATTTTCACGCCAGCATGTTCCTTTGGTTCCTTCAGCACTGTTGTCCCAGTGTAAGAGTTCGGTTCATAATAAGCACCCGAAAATCATGTATTCCGGGCTTTGCTTATAACGTAATGTTGTAGCAGGTTCTCAATGGAATTTCTTAGTTTCTCTTTTGACGCCTGTCAGCTTTTCATAGTAACATCTAAACCTGTGATTGTCTTTGCTTTTACTCGGCAATTTTTACCTTCGCCACTGTATTGGTGTCAACCTCACTTGCCAGCCATGCGGTCGTGCCAACAGAATAGGACTTTACATCAGCAGAGGTGAGACAAATGTTGAAGAAACCCGATTACAGAGTGGCTAAAGTAGGTTTGGAATTCCAGTGTAATTACGTGAAGTGGTGATGTAGTTGATGACAATGTGAGAGATTTTTCCTTTCATTGGATCCAATCCATGCAGAAAGGCCGAGAAGCAGTGTACAGCTGTTTCATCCTTATTGAAGATCATCAGTAGTTTGCATCTCATGAGACTCAGTTAGTTTGGAACCCGTAACCTCCCCGCTAGTAATTTGAGCACTTCGGCCACATGCAGCTGACCAGCAGTGTGATTAGCTCGCACATAGACAGGATATTGCACCACTCATCCTTCAGCCACGCAGTTCACATCAAGTGATCACGTTCTGACTAGCTGCAGAGAAAGGCCTCTTATCTGGGCGTGATTCTGCACGGTGAACAATGTCATGCGACCCGGATTCGACCGCGTCGAAAATTAGTAACAGCATCATTGATTCGCATCCGACTTCCCGCTCCCTAACTTCCGATATCTGAAGTATCCTCTAGTGATTTTCCGCGTACATGACAATATTAATAGAAAAGTAGAAAAACGAGTAACTATGTGGTCTTCAATAGAGATTTCAACCTGTCAGTGAAGCCAGTCTTCGTTTCGAGCAAATTGTGACCTGTTCAGTCAAGAGGAGTCTTCAGCTTCTTTACAGGCCCACAGAAATCGATGAGAGCGTCTCTGCTCTCAAACGTGCGTGAGTAGTTTGAGCTTTTTGATCAGGGATAGATGTTCGCTATTCACCGCCTCTAAAAGTTGCTGGTAGAAGTTTTCGGCGCGAGGGACCGTTCAAATTTGGTAGCTACCGGTGCAACCGAAAGACTTTGGAGACATTTCAGATACACATCGTAGATGTAGGTCCTGACCGTCGCTGACTAGATACCAAGTTTGACTAGTCAGTATATTATTTCGCTCCCTGTTGACTTTACATCTGTTGGTTTCAAGGAACAAGATTCTTAAGTAAAGGTCGGTGATGATTACCTGATTGTTATGCTGTGGTGCAACCACCACGCCAAATAGGGGTTCACTTATGAACTGCTTGCTTTCGGTGTCACTTTTCCGCCGCCTAGGAATAACTGGAAAATATTGTTCGAACCCGACCTCTGTCTCTCGATTTTCCCTATCTAGGCTTGGGCAACCTGGCAGTATCCCAGCCCTCGTGCTTCCTTCAGGTAGCCTGGCAGCTAGGCACCGGAACTGTGTTACAGCTGAACGATTTATTTATTTATTGTAGCCATTGTATAGGCGTATGCAGGATGCTAAGATCTGTGCAGCTCGAATTCAGTTCGCCAGCATTCATGTTAATTCCATTTTGTCAGACTTTGTTCTGCCCTTTCGTTTACTCAAGATTTGGAATCATCCAGATATACTTTGGCGAGCGATGGAAGAACACAAGGAAGCAATGGACTTCGACATCGAAGACCCTTCCAACAGCGCTTCATCAACAGCTTACTCTAACCGAGGTCTTACACGCAGTGCGACCACATCTGCACTGTCCAGGCGCACCTCCTCTCAGCTTTCTCTGTCCAGTTCAGAACAATCCACTGCAACCGAGAAATCACCCGCCGAGACTCCCCCAGCTAGTAGCACTCTCAATTGGCCTCCATATACAACAGCACAGCGATCGCCGAATACCGCGTTCACTCCTCCCGTATGTTTTTTAATTTCTTCCATGCATGACTAATCTGTGCACGTGCACCCTAGATTTAACTGTGGTCTTTTCATTTCCAAAATCACGACGGGTGGATTCTCTTCACTATCGTTTTCCGATGTGGAATATGTCCGGACTGTCTGCCATCCTGTTCCTGTTGTGTTCTTCGAAAAAGTGTGTCCCATGAGTTCCATCTGTATGGTTCATTATTCTTTGGAAAAGGTCCTGTCAGTCTGCTAGATGTAACAGGTAGTCGTTTTTCCTGAACCGATGCGCATCGGTTGCGTTCCTTAAACTGTGTCCTCATCCCCAAACGTGGTTACAAACAATGTTTTAATCACCAAGCTGAAGGATCTGTATATGGGAGTGCGCGTTCCAGTCTCTCACCAGTTATTGTTGTGATCTAGGAAGTTCTTTATCGACTCGTTTGTGGACACCGCAAATTCACCGAGATAGTGATATGGAGGACGGAGAGTCTTTTGTTTCCATAAAAAGACGGAAATTCTTTGTTATTGGTCCTAACGTAGAACTTTTAATTGTCTCTATCTCTGTTACTTTTTTCGAGCGATGCGTTTTCAGTTTCCTGTTACCGCCACTTCATTCTTCGTAAAAAAAATTCACCAACTTTTACTTAACGCGTTCACTTGGGTCACCTTTTAGTGGATTTCCAGTTATATTTTTAGGCAGCTCATGCTTTTGTTTTGAAAACTCTTGTTGTAGTGATCCCCATTAATGCTCAGTAGGCCTCCACCGCAAACTACTTTCCTGGGTGTTTATTAAGTTACTTGCACGATAAATTAGATTTACTTGCATCACTTTTCGGTGTCCGTCCGGCACAGACAGGAACAATTAAGAAGTTGCCAATAGATTTGGTTTTGGGTGCGTGCTATACTCCTCGCTATGAGGACCGGCTATCTGCAGCTCCGCTAGCTGTATCTTACCAGTCTTCAGTACGAAACAATCTACACAGCAATAGTTGCTTCGCGCTCAGACGCTCGGTAAATATTTGTTGTGGAGTGCAGTAACCTACTCTACAGCGGCCGTTGCCGGATCTGGTCGATTGAGGCTCACCGAAACGAGAGGCTATTCAATAGACTAACTTGTATCTCGCTGTCGAATTGGAATATGGTTGAAAGTAATGTATACTATCAGGAAAATCATTCTCCGAACGATTCTGTGCGCAGTTGCTCGGTACTACAAACAATCTGTTTATACGCCCTGAGTGTCGACGTTTTTTGGCTTCCCACGTCCCCATCGTCACTCTATTTCGTCGGCATAGTATAGGTTTCTCATCCTGATTTCACATTTCTTGTGTTGCTTGTCTCCTACAGAATCCATTCTTCCCCACTGTACCGCATTCCTTACTGAATCGGCTGACGAGCCCCCCGTCAGTCCCCGCATACCTGTACAACCAAACTCAACAGAACGCCCCCACAGTTCCTCCACCAGGGACATACGATTGGGCTTCCGATGCAGCTTTATGGGGTCCGGACTATAAACCTGGAAATGTGGAACATAGCGGGAAGATAATCCTTTTCTTGAGCCTTCTTGAAGGTTGTGTGTTAGCTGGGGACAAGATTCTAGTGTTCACTCAGAGTTTATACACACTAGACCTGTTAGAGCGTATCCTTCGTCGTCTCCCATTACCTGTCCAAAAGTTTTCTGAAGCGGCTACTTCATCAACTTGTGACGGCCAACCTGTTGCACCGGGGTCCGAGTTCAAGTGCACGGAAGACTGTGATACGGATGCGAAAATGTACGCAGTTTATGAATGTCGGTCTATAAAGACAACTGCCACCGGACCAGATGAATCCAGTGAATCGGCCAACAATGTTTCACTGCCTGAGATCGATCATCATGGGGAGCCTGTTTCTACGAAAAATCGTGATATCTGTGAAGAACAGGCAAACAGTCTTGATGATTCACAGTTTCTTGAAAGTGTTCTGGGGCACTCCGGGTCCGTGGTCTCCGATGAACCAACATCTTCATGCGTGCCCGAAGCAACTGAGCATCAACAGATTACAAAGAGAGAGCCACTTTCAACGACGTTTGAGCAGGTCAAAGAGGAAGAACAACCAGAGGAGACCCTACGGTCTCTACATTATCGGCTGGCTTCGCGTCTGGGACGTTCGAACAAGCCTAGTGTATGGACCAAAAATGTGCACTATTTCCGTGAGTTTCTTTGTGTTGTCTTTGTCTCTTTTTGGTCGTTCTTAACACGGTCATGGTGATTATCAGTTTTATTGTAAAGGTAGATGTCTGGCCGACTACTCCAGCAGTTTAACAGTTCGTATTTAGTTGAAACAGCTAACTAGACGATCGCTATATTGGGATACCTTTATGAAGTAGATGTAGAGTTTATTCCAGGGTTCCGGATCCATGTATTGGAGTATAATAACTGAATCTTGTGAGAAAACGCGACGAAAACAGGTTACTCATTCAGCTGAAGATAGGCTTCAACCTGAAGTTAGTTTCCAGGTATTCGGTTAAAGCCAACGCCCCCAGGCCATTCGTAATAAGGGACTCATTAGGTGGCTGCATGCAATCAAATGTGCCTGGAGGTAGGAACCTCAGCCTTATGTTACTGCGCAGTATGAGCAGTTGCGCAGTAGAAAATCGCATACCAATTTTCTGTGGTTTCCATTGCTAGGATCGGTCTCGGTTTTTCAAGACCAAGTGCTGAACTGGCGTTTTAATACGTACAAACGCTGTGATTTTCTTCGGAGTTAGTCGCACGCTGCTCACACTTCATCTGAAAAGTTGCGTAAGCACTTATGGCCGAACCTAAATATGTGTATGCCGTGTACAAAGTGATCGTGTTTCTATACAGCGAGCACCATTCAGAGTGTTGCATTCTATAATTTGTCCTTCTGAAATAGGTGAACGTCATATAACATCGACAGAATCATGGAAGCAGAGTAAGCTTTTATCATTTGGATGTCCTGTTAGTAGAAATAAGGTGAATTGGCATATTCAATGAGATATTCAGCTGGGTCTCCCGCGAAAACCAAATTGGTATGCAAATGAGTGTTTTTCGCTAAAATAACCTAACGCTTTTTAGATAAACTGAAGTTCCGTTTAATGAAGCATTCTTTGGTACTGAGGTTAATTTCAAAGCTGTCGGGTCCAAAAGACTCAGGGTCAAAATTTACCAAATATTTTGTGGTTTCCGATAGGTCTATCCTCACTTTTCAACAAACACTTCTCTATAGATCAGCCATATCAAGCAAAGTACATTCGTTTGTCTCGCGCAAACCAGGAGCGTTTAGCACCATTACATTGAACGGACCGTTGTAAAGGGAGAAGATTCAGCTTTTCGCATTTGGGCGCTAGAGTTCAGAAAACGTGAACTGCTAGCTCAGAAATTATGTATAACGGGTGACTCATGTGTAAATGTCTGTGTTATCCAGACTTTGATGGCAAATGCTAATTTGGATCGCCGAGGTCTCGGGTCATTGGGGATACTCTACTTTTGCCTCCAAAGGTTGAGTATAATGTTCGGATAATGTATGGAACGTTTCTTTCCTTGACCTTATCGTCAACTCTCAGTTTGGGAGGCTATGTGAGGTTTGGCCTTCTCAAAGAGTAACTGAAGGTCCAGCGCTCACAAGCAGCAAGCCATATAAGTCTCACATTCGCCACCGCTTGTCGGCTAGGTGCGTTCGAGAGCTCTGTGGGGCCCTGGATAAGGTCCGTTTGTTGATTGACGATGTTGTTGCCAGACCACTGAGCGATCGGTGTACATTTTGAAAAACGATTAAGCCCCAGGTGAATTTTCATCATCAGCTTTCGTTCACTGGTACTGGTTAAGTTGCTGGACCGCATGGTTCACCTCATCATTATTGTTATCATTTTAGTGGACCAGGTTTTCTGAATTAATTTCCTATTCAGAACAGAATATTGGTCAGGAATGAGAGCGTTTCTGACAACTTTGTAGCACCACTCCATTTCAGATCTTATTCTTTTTACCACCGATTCTAGCTTATATACTCTTGGACCCTTGATATATCTTATGGTCCGTTGCGCATTTACTATGACCACAAAATGCTAATTGCTCTTTGTTCATCTCGTCTTTGTGCAAAAGTGTGTTAATAATTTATATCGTTTTGGTCTTATCTTGAATGTGCTTGTTAATCTATTCCTGTTCGATTCACTGTCCCAAAACTGGAAACGCACATCACTAATACATTATGAATGCCTTTTACATATCCTCAGGTCTTGATGGCAGCACCACAGCTAGTGAGCGAGAAAAGCTGATCAATAACTTTAATGACCCCAAGAATCCGGCCAAGTTGTTTCTAGTCTCTACCAGGTAGGCACTTATTCTAATTGATGACCTTACCCCGTCTTTTCGTAATATACAAGCAATTTTACATTTGATTGTTTTCCGCACACGTTTTTCATATTTATGCTTAACAAATTCCTTCTACTTTGACAGAGCCGGTTGCTTGGGTGTCAACCTGATTGGTGCGAACCGTGTTGTGGTCTTTGACGCATCGTGGAACCCTTGCCACGACTGTCAAGCCGTGTGTCGTGTTTATCGCTATGGCCAAGTGAAACCTTGCTACATATATCGACTCGTGTCAGATAACACCATGGAAAAGAAGATTTACGATCGGCAGGTATACTGGTCTTCCTTTTTTCTTTTCTCCCTTGATTTCAAGTAATGACGAGTGAAAAGACTCTCACTTCATTCACAATCGTTCAGCCGGACCAGTCTGATGTATATAGATTGAGTCTATAGTTGATGATGTTCTTCACTTAGCATGTAGGGCCAGCTATTCTGAATTTCCATACGCAAACCTGAAATAGCCTTGTGCTGCGAATTCGATTGGAGAATGTCAGGAAGTTGAAATTTATCCCATGTTTGTTCGAATATCTCATGAAAAACAGCTTAATAAGTGATGAATGATGAACAATTTATTCAACGTCCAACTTTGGATTATTGAACCTTGTCTATTTCTCAGTGTTTCCATTACTTCATAGAGTGTTCTTTAGACTTGCCGTTGTGAATGTTTGACCAACCAGTATAACTACTGTTTTTCGTACCTTTTGCACAGGTAACCAAGCAAGGTATGTCGGACCGTGTGGTTGATGAGCTGAATCCTTCACAACAGTTCACTCGCTCCCAGGTCGAGTTGCTTATGTCCTTCGAGGATAAAGATATGCAAGGTATATCACAGGAGGATTTGCAGAACTGTTCCGATCTCGTTGAACCTGACCCCGTATTGTCCTCGGTATTGCAGAAGCATAGATCATGGATTACAAAGGTATCAATCAGTATCCTTATCTTTGCATTTCCTATCAAATGTGATGCACAATGATCCCATCGCTCCACTACATACCTTTTGGGTTTTGTTTTCTTACAGACTCCTTTCACCCACGAATCTCTCCTGATTGACCGGAAGGATTACCGTCTAACGCGAGTAGAAAAACGTTTGGCCAGACAACGCTATGAACAGGAAAAACGTTTGAGTTTGAGTTACCAGAAAGCGCATCTATTCCAGTTCCAACAGATGCAAGCACTCCAGCACCAACAACTGCTCGCGGCCGGAATCAACCCGGCACAATTGAACCAGTCCAAGTGAGATTTATGACAACACAATTGCATTTGCTTGCGGTGTTTTGTAGGTGACATGGCTTTTCAACGGGGGAGGGACTTCAACTTAACGTGCATAGTGGAACTGGCCTAGGTTAGGTCATGTTATCACTTAATGTTGAAATATGAGGACCGTAACTAGTTACCTAACAGCTAGATTAAGGCATAATGATGAAACATAAATGCGGCAACACACTACTAGTAAATACTGGTGCTTAACTGCCATACGACCATAACTAAGAATGGCACGTTAATGTGTGGAAATTCAGTGCAGAACCGGCTTATGACAAGATGCTTATACCTTGCAGCACCGAGGACATGAACACCTCTTAGCATTTGAGTAAGACGTTATCGTTGGGATTAATCCAACATCCTTTACCCTACATGGTTTTAGCAGACAAAGACAAACAGGCTGCAACTGAGTTTTCTGACTAGGTCCTTAGCACTGGTACCGGCTACATATCATATCCTATAGGGTTTCTCACAACGTACAGTAGGATTCACGTGGATACCAGCCGGATGGCTCATAGAATACGCAGCATTCAGTTTAACAGAATCTGCTTTCATCTTAGGATGCCATTTTGTATCCGTCTTCGACCTGAGCCTTTCATCAACAAACGGTCAGAGTAGGAAACTGTTTTCTTCGGTAAATCGAGACGCTTGGTAAATACCAACTAACTTAGCCTGTTAAATGTTTTCCACTGCTCTAGTGATTTGGACTCATCATACCAACATCGCTGGTTAGTATCAGTGGCAGAAATAGTTCAGATGTGAACTCATTACATAGCTTGTCCTCGCTCTTCCCACTGCATCACCAAAGTATTCATCCTTAAAATGTCAGCTCGCTTTCTAGCTATCTGTTCACATTCACCATCAAGTCTAAACGAAAGTGTGGCAACTAGAATCACTTCTGTATACACGGTTCATAGTCGACAGTGATTGTTCCGTGTTTTGGTGTATACTTGAGGACTCGTCCTCCATCACCATCCCGACAATTCCTACAATTCCTTTCGAGGGCTGATTCCTGACTACTACTCGTTTGTTTCACAATCCTTCAACTCTACTCATATTTTCACATTTTGCTTTGCGCCTGTCCCCCTGTGGTCTTCAATCATATCCTGTGTCACCGAATGATTACCAGTGATATAATCTCTAATTTACTTTGAATGCTTGTTAGTCTCAGTGTGACCTTATAGTGTGATTTTGCACTGTTGGTTATGTAATCTTCGATAACTCGGATTAATTCTGGTGTTTCTTCCATACATATCTTGCAAGCTGCAACCCTTTTTGACACATAGACGTGTTGCTCGAGTTTCCTGTTTTTTTTTCCTTCTCTGGGATTCGATCACCACCCTACTTATCCTCCCGATCGCCAACTGCATTTTGTTCGTGCCTAATTTCACTCTCGTATCCCACTTTAACACTTCATGGCTCCGAGCATCGCCAATGTATGCTATTTTGGGAGATATTTCAGCAATCAGTCCGTAATCGGAACAGAAGGGATTCATGTGTCATGTCCGCACAAGTGATAGGCGACTTTTCAAATGACTTAAGACAAGACGAAGGGGGTTCGACTATTAGCTGACGATAGTAAACCCTCTGTTATCTCCATTAGTAGCCTGTGTCGTTGGAAGTACCACTGTAGTCAGTTCTCGTGGACGCTTTCTATTGGAAGGTGCTGTTTTCATCTATATGATCGTGGTCTTTATAATAAGGCTCGTTTTTTCCTAACCCCTTTCCAACCAGTTCCCAGTGAAGGGAGTGCACTTAACCATATTATTGGGGTTGTTTTGTTTCTGTCCAACCAATTGAGCCAGAAAAACTTTGACCACGGCTCGCTCGATTTGACTGCAATTAACCTAACTTTTGTTATTGTTGTCACTATCTATGGTAACATTTATGCAAATTCGGTGCCTAGACGAGGGGTCACTAGATCCCAAGGTAGCTCGAGATTATAATAGGGCTGCTCAATTTATGAACTGAATCGGTACTTTTTTCCCTGGTCATTCGGGTATGGATTCAACTTTGTTATTTATTTGGTTCAGGCCCCTTCAGTCTATCTTCTACAGATTTTCAGCTCACATTCGTTGACTGTATCACCCCGATTATCACAAGATCGTACCAATCCTCGAAGTGTTTCACTGACTCAAGCCTAATATGCATCTCTGCGTGAGTATATCATTTTCACAAGGACGGGCAGGCACGAGCCGATTTGTGGAGGATAGGTGATCGGGGATAGGCCTCTCCTAGAAACACCGTCCCGTGGGATATCTTGCACGTGATACAACTTGAATACACCTTTAAATGTTGCAGTTATTACTCCCTGCCTCTCCGCGGAGGGGAACCAGACTTTTTTTGCAATTTATTGGCAATCATCTTGCTGTCAATTATTCTTCAGTTGGTTTTTTTCTTACATCAAGTTTTTTTCCTGCTCATCGTCAGCCTCTTTTCGCGCACTCCTAGTATCCTGTCACGTGGCAGTGGATTCAATTATCGACCAACCTACACGAGTGGTATGGCTGCCATTGACGCTATGCGCCAAGTTGAACGTCAGTCACATACAAACACAGATCAATTACAGAGTAAGTTACTTTCCTCACAATTTTCGGCCCAACTGTTCCCGTCCTATGTGCTCCTACACACTTTAAGATTCCGAGTTGAAGTCGGGTGGAGATGTGTAATAATAATGGTGCTCTGCGCACTATGGTTGCTTTCGGTCAGGAATCTGGGAGGGAACATGCTTCCGGTCATGTAGTTTAGTTTCGTTCGTTTTCAAACTTTTCTGCATCCTATGGATATTTCAGGTAGCCGAAAGCCGATTCTTTGTGAGTGGTTGCTTGAATAGTTTCCGCGTTTTGAGGTTAAAGTCACAGGAATTGTGTTCAACCATTCTGAACGTTCGCAAAATTTTATCGTTTTCTATTTCGAACCTCAGCGACTGGTCCGCAGATTATCTTCGATGTACACTCGCACTATGCAAGCCTATTCGCACGACCTTCCTCTACGATAGTTATTTGCCATCGTAGCTGAAAAAATGTTTGATGTTTTGTTTGGTTGCAAGTAAACCATGTGTCATTGTTGAACGAATACAGTAGAACGCCTGTTTTGCTATTTTCTCACTACTCTAGTGTTGTTCTAACTTGCTGGTTAGCCTTAGTAGAGAGTTTATCCTGTCTTTGAAGCCAATATATGCTAAAAAGCCGAGAAGCGCTGTACAGCTGGTTTGTCCTTATTGGGAATCACCAGCAGTGTCCATCTCGTAAATCTCAGGGTTTTGATCCCACGATATTCCAGTCAGTGTTTGAGCACACAACCGTTTGGCCTTGAGCGGCTGACTAGGAGTGTGGTAAGTTCTCAATTACTTTTCGACTGACCGACTAATCTTGTGTAACATAACGTTGGAGGGAGTAAAGCGGAACTTTTTTCAGATTTTTCAGACGCGCGCCTTCACCATGTTTTGTTTTATTCATTGCAGTTTCGGTTGACAAATATTTATCTCTTCTGAACGTTCATGCGAGAAATGTTCCATAACTGTAATGTAGGTTGATGAATTTGATGCATTATAACCGTAAGGAATAGCGTTCAACCTCAGCCCTTCGATGGCGACGACCAAATTCACCTCTGGTTACTGTGTGATCGCGTATGTGACACTAATGACTTACGAGCAAATTGCTTATTTGTTATACCGGTGAATGACACCAGGTTTGTTTTGGATTCTTCGGGTAATGCGGCCAGCAAAAGGGTTCCTGATGGAAATGATCTGTGTTGGACGCTTCAACTCTGTTTTCTCGATCGTCGGGGCCTTTCTGGTGATGAAGTGATGCGATAGGTAAGGGTTTTTCTCGAGCGCTGATGTGATGTGGACAAATACATCATGGTTTGACAGAAATGTGTACTTCTGATACCTGGATGCGATCCATACGTATATTTACCGACGTTACCTTATTCTGGTTATAGTTTCCGATCTATAGGTATCATATCCTATAATTCAATCCGCTTGCGAGCGGTACTGTCATTTTGTTCTCTGCTTGCTGCTGAAGTGAATCCTGTCTACAAATTCCATTCATGTGCGTATGTTTCCCTGTTTTCAGTGCCATCAGCATGGGCTTCCAACTGCAAAGTGACCAGGATTGTAGCTACCACCGGTGAGTAGTTGCCCAAGTTATCTGCAGTCAGGTATATGTCAATGCAACTTCACGCTCACTGTTTTTGATGGGTCCGAGAACGGACCCGTTTTGGCTCCTTTTCTGAATATTCATTTCAATTTCTCTTGTTCACCTTTCCAGACCTGTATTTCCCGTCCACAGTTGAAAACAAGACAGTCGAGAGGAAAATCCCCAAGGGTGAAGTGATGGAAGTTATACAAACTTCGAAAGGGAAATATCTGCGAATCGTACGCACAGGTGATTTGTTTGTCGTAAAGACGAGTTCACACACTCCTAGCGATACAGATTCTAAAGCTGACGCAGCTGCGGCTACTAGCTCTTTCGGTAATAATGGCGCGTCTGCGTCGACGACACCGGCCTCCGTCTCTTCTTTCGCTGCACCCACATGTGATTCCCGTCAAGCTGGGCTATCGCCGCCTCGAAATTCACAGCCAGAACTGCGCTCGCAAAACACCGATTCGAAGACACCGGTGGAGCCGGCCAACCCAGAAAGCACGAATATGACTTCTCCTACCTCCGTTTCCTTCAGCAGTGCTGATGTCAGACTGCGAGCTTTGTTCAGCGAAGCGGGAAGTCGACCCACCGTTTGTCCTCCGACAACAGTTAACGCGGTACATGATAGCTCATCGGGAGATATGACCAAACGTTTGCCTGCATTTTCTGCAAGTGAACCGCCCCAGACGTCAGTCTCTACAACCACCTCTTCGATCCGATTGCATCATCCGACAAATACCAGTTCCACTTATCCTAGCATCCACCACATGGACCATGCTCCTACTACTACTACCTCTAGCAGCACTTCTGTTGCTCATCAACCTCATAGTGGGTCAACTCAAAATCAGTTCTCTCTCTCCTCTCAATCAACACAGGCCTCCAAACATTTCGAAGCCCGCTCTCGGGTCGATGCTTATCAGCACCATTTCGATCAGCAGTACTTTGGGCAGCTGGCACAGCGCCAACAGCATCAACAGACCTCTTCTTGGATTTGTCCGAATTGCGGACTCCCAGCCACCAGTTGCACATGTAACACTCCATCCGGAATAGCAAATGATTCTGACAAATCTGCCTCGCGAGTCTCTGCACAACATCCACTCTCTCCCACTTCCTTCGGTCAACAATCGAGTTGTAGTTCCTTCGCGTTGTCTTCTGGCACAACTCAACCTGCTTCTCCGAAACAAGAACGCAAAGAATCCCGCAACAACGCCTTCGTCGGCTCCACGAATTACGGTTCAGTAGCTACTTCTCAGTTCTATTCACCTGAAGCCGTCAGCAGGCGACAGCAGCAGCAACAACAACAGCAAGAATACTTGCGGGCCGCTGAAGAAGTGGCTCGCCAATCGGCCGCTGCCTACCTGCATTTTAACAAACAGCAGCTTTCTTCCTCACAAGGTAATCAACACTCCTCAATAACTCCACACCACTCACGTTCTGATTTTAACATAACCAGTTCGGCTGCGCATCAACAAACATCCTCCTCGATCAGTGGTAACAACACTAACAATAGTCCTGTGTTCCCCTCTATCCCATCCGCCCCGAACCCAGCTTCCATGGTCCATGACTATTTCGCCCAGTTGACGGGTCAACCGGGCCACCAGTCAAATATGTTCCACCACAACAATCCTGCTGGCAACTCGCATCCCGTCGCTGCGGCCATGCAGCAGTATTTGGTTAGTAACGCGGGTGGTTCAAGTCTCGTTCATTCAGATAGTTCAAATTTCTACGCGAATCTTCCATCTCAGCGCCAGTTCGAATCGGCCACGCAGTCTAGTAACTATGTCCAAGGTCCCGGGGCGACTGAGCAGCAGCAGACTAGGTCGTCCATGGTTGGACAGCATCTTCAACAACAGCAGCAACCATACCAGTTCCCTCTCATGCAGTCAAGCTCTCAGATGCCACCGTTCGACAGACTACAATCCCATCGATTGCTCCCAAACTTTCGACTTCCATAACAGGCTAACGTCATCGGCAAACACAGCGTCTGTCCTTCCATTCTTAAATTGATTCTTTGCATTATATTCTAAATCGAACGAATAACTATTCTTGTAAATACTAGTGTAAACAAGGTTGAATCGTGACTAATTTATTTGAACATCCTTATCTGATCCCGTTTATGCATCTATCTTGTTATCGGTCGCCAGCCGTTAAGGGGCTGATCGGTTTTACCCCATCTTTACATTCACTATGTGACCATCTCTCAAACAAGACACGCTGCATAATATTTCAGACGCAAATAGCTCCCCTCTAACTTTGCCTCTTGTGCAGCCCTTGCATCACCGCTGCTTTTGTAGGCGCCTCATCACATTAGCAACCGTTCACCGATTAATCTTGTAATACCATATGTTTCGTTTTCCGTACTTTGTTTCATCTCTTCCTCTGTATACATTCTGCTGTAATGTTTTCATGCTGGTGCGGATACTAATGCTGCTCGTAATACTAGATTTCGAATGTGCGTTCATTTGAACAAGGCAAAAGGCGGATGTAATCGGGTGATGTGTATCTTCACCGTCACCTGGTGAAGCCGTTAACAGACAGTAGCACTCAGTTGTTGAGTGTACTCAAATGTATAATTGCATTTAAAACTGATTTTTATAAAGTCTTGCGCTGAGAGACTTGGTTTTCTCATTCCTCACAGGACAAATGTTGTGCTGCAGTCTGAACGTCTGCTGATAAGGGATGGTGTTCCGGGCGCCGTGGTAACCTTTGTGATCAGCTTGCAAGAAGTTATGACTGATTCATTAGATATTTGTAAAGAAACACTTTCAACTGACAGATTTACCAACCGATACACTGCGGTTGATATAAAAAAGCAATTTATCTTGCTCTTTTCTGCCATTTTTGGGGGGTTCATGTAGCTTCGAGAGTAAGTTGCGAGTTTCTGGTTAGATAATACCTTGTTCGGTTCCTCATGACGCCATAACTGCTGCTCCCCAGGCCCCGGCAACCAAACACTATCCTCTTCGATCTCTCTTAGGATTTCAAGACAGTTATACACAAATTGTGGCACCAGTGAACCGCCGGGCCCATCCTTCCAGTCGGCATTCTTGCAAATGTGCCTACCTTAGTTATCGTTGCCTTTCGCCAGTCGATAGAACTAGGCTACTGCTGGTCATAAAAGCTTTCTGATCTCATTAGCCTTCATTGTCCAACAGAGCTCTGCGTGTCTCCTTCAGGTCTTCCCTACTCGGTGTTTGAAAGATTTGTGTGCTGCCGTGATCTTTGGCCCCTGGTATGGATGTCCTAGCATCGATCGGGACTACGGACCTCGACAGTATCCAATGTGTACGTGGTCCTATCAAGAGCATCGAGAAGACAGCTTTGAATGCCACCGGCGTAGTTTCGTTTACATCCATTTCCCATTCACAAGTGCTACGTTGGCTCAGTGCAGGTTGTTTCGCATCCGGGCCGTTTCATAAACAATATACTTTTACTTTTGAAGTTTGGGGAGAATTCTCTTTCCGCAAATTTGATAGCTTTGGTATGTTCGAGGATCCCGTGTAGAGAAAAATCTTGCGGACTTCTTAGTTATTTAGTTTATTTTCAATAAGCAATTGGTTGGGTGAAGCACTTCGGTCATATAACCCAGAACGCTTAAGGTTGGATTGAATTTGGGGACACTGGTGAACAAAGAACTGCGCGGATAAATGATAATTTCTAGTTGCCCCGGGCTAAAGAAAGGAATTTTAGTTGAGGCAACTCACCTTAAGCTTTTGATTCGAAAGTCTGGCCCACAAGGTGGTGTTAGGGGTAATCATTTTATTCTGGGATCCTACCCATAGCTTATGACTTGAGAATCTGATCTGTAAGGCAGCAGTCTTATGGTTTCCTTTATTTTTTTTTTGGGAGGGGGAAGTCCTGCCCGGGGCCGCTGACTCAGTCGTCTGACATGTTCGGCTGCAGGGGGCTGGCCTAACCTGTGAGTGATGGGAATAAAACATAGATGTTTCACTCCTGCTTCTTCTGCACATAGCAGATGTGTTTAGAGCTCTTTCGTGTTCCCAGTGGGTTATAAATGTCATACAACAGTATTGGATATATCTCTGTTGAACAGTCGGAATATGCAGTCTTATGGCCAAACACCGACCCATCCTTTCTCGGCAGGGAGTAGCATCGCCGCTTCCATAACCACTGGAATACTGGGTGTCTTCGTGTTCGAATCGCAATAAACAGCGCGAATTAGAACTCAGACCATCGTGTAAGGCGCGAACTTCATAATCAGAAGGTCCGTAGTTTGAACCCTGCATTTCGACCGTCGCTGTCTCGTCTTGAATAACCTGGTAGCAAGCATCTCAGCCCTTGTGTTTCCTTGGTGCACGGCAGCTAAGCATAGAATGTGTTATGGCCTCACAATCATTATTATTGCTTATTATTATTACCCGTTATTACTTATTACTACTTATCTCACTGTTGTCAGTGTGACTACAAATCTTTGTTCTTCTTGGCATGTTTGCACCTTGTGAAAAAAACTTTAAGCCCATGTGTCCCGCGAGATCATTTTAGCAAGCCGAACTTGACCATCACATCAAGTTGGTATCTTGGTTGTCAAGTTTTGAAACGAACCCTAATCAGGCGTTTCATCCCCCTCCAACGTCAACCCTTTGTGACCATTTGCCTACTGCGAAAGACTTGTAACCAATGTAATAGTTCGCTGCTGTTTTGCAGTAAGAATAGCCCAATTTTTTATAGAAACTAATTTGCGCTTGGCTTCCAAGTTCTGCATTTGATGATTTCATGACCTATAGTATCCGCATGTTGTACTTTAAAAACGGGATTATTGGCACTGCTCGACCCAAACCCCCTGAAACTGGCTATGGTTGTAAACGAACCATAAAGTGGATTACCATAATTTAATCGGTTCGCAAACGATGATATATAAATCCTGGAACCTAATAAACACCCTTCTATATCTGCTTCCGCGCCTTTCATGATCTTGTAGTCTGGGTGGAATTCCCATGGGAAATGAGTTGGAGAGAATATTCGGCTTATGTGTGTAGGTGACTAGCAGTGAAAAAAACTACTGGAGCACCACCTCAACTGAGGACCACAAATTTATTTGGATGACTGCCCTGGAACGTTGCAAGGCACGGTGTCACGTTGGGTTTTCCTAGTTTCGTTTCGCAAACTTACTCCTATATGCCCTGCTTATATGAGACTCCAGTCTACTCTCACTGCCTTATGTTGGAATTTTCTGGTTTTTCGTAAATGTTTTCCCCGCATTCGCAACACGGTTTTTTCCGACTAGAACGCATTCCCGAAAAATTGACTTCTCGAGTAACAACCTGGAAGTTTCCGGTTTTATTTTTCTCACCTGAATAAGGTAGAAACCTCAAAATAGCTCAACCCAAAGAGTACAGTCTATATAGTAGTGTTCAAAACGAAAATTGAACAGAGCGACATTTCAAACTGTCGTGGTTTAGTTCCAGTATTCTCCTTCAAGCAAGGGAGTAATCGGTGGCTTCCCGAAGATCCTGTGACCAGAAATTTACTGATTGAAAAGTTTTCTAGCCAGAAGTAGCTGGCGTTCTCATCACAATCATTGTCTTCATCACTAAAGATTAGCAATACGTACACAAACTGCACTTTCTCCCGGGTGCCAGAGGCAATTCACATGCTTCTTATATCCCTATCTCTACAAAAGTGGTCAATGTCGTTTAGTAACAATACTTGAAAGAGACCTAAGAAAGCTAGATTGTTGCTTCCTCAATATCCCTGTAATCAACCGCGTAAAGTATACTTAGGTGATTGCCGACAGATTAGGGCTAAAGATGGGCCTGCTGGTTGGTTTTTTTGTTACGGACTACAGGTTAATGTGACCCTGTTTCATGACACAATGCAACTACCCTAGGAATCCTACACTAGTGTTGACAACAACTACGAGAATGTAGCGATACTAGGTGGATAGACATTTTGAGACTTGGGTTCGATTAAAGTCTCTGATAACACGCGACGTGACGTGTCAGTCACTGACTGTTTAATAAAAAAGAAGTAGTATTGCTCGCCGGAAAAGTGGATGCATTGGGTTCAGATCTTGACAACCGTACAGAATAAGCTTATTTGACGTCAGTGGCAGTGTTGGTTAGGGTCTCAACCATACCGCAGCACACTGTTGTCACTAACCTAAAGGAACTGCGTGGTGTCCAAGGTATTGTTGAAATTCTACATCTTGACTGATTTCTATTGGGTTAGCACGTTTGTTAGGCGTCTGACGACTAGCAGTGTCAGGATTGTCCCTAACTTTTTCATGATCCACACGGAGGATGCCATAATGCCAGGCCATATTTTGGAGTTTTTACGGGTAATGCACAGCAGAAGTGGCCTGCTTCGATTGCTTATCCAGGGCTGGACATTCTGTGGTCCTAAATTTTACGCTTCACGGAAAGTCACTGTTTTCTCAAAGGCATTGCTCATGTGACACTCAGTGTAAACCTACGAGCGTCCAGAACACCCATTCTCAACTGGCAATGGGAAGCTCGTACAAAAAGCGTTTTGGTTACGCCCTGAGTGCATTTTCTGTGGCTCTTTCGTGTCAACCGTGTCTTGTAAAGAAACTCGAACATTCCTCAGGAAACTCTGAACTGATAATGCAGTACAACACTACCAGCATCAGCAAGTATTTTTGTTAGTTTATCTTCGCTTCACGAAAAGTGAATTATGTATGGTAGCCTACAACTGGGACAAAGGATTCACCTATAGCTGGACTTCGAACTTTCTAATACTTTCACTTATTTCTTGTGGCAGGTTTTTATCATTTGACAACAGCAGGTTCGCTGGAACCACCAATGGGGTTCCTTATCCCTTTTGACAGTGCATAGTGTCGTGTGTGTCTCAACGCACGAGGAAACACTGTGAATCTAAATTCGTCATTTCGACACTCGTATGATGTCCATATGCTTCCAACTTACTCAGTGTGCGTAACAACCTTGTGTGTCTATACTTTTGGCTGACACTTGTTTTCAATAAAAGCTCGATCAATTTTCACACGTGAACAGAGAAGGATTATATTCAGTGAAAATTTAGTGCACGACGGAGCCACACATATTTATGTCCTTGAAACTCACCTCACCTGACGAAGCTTTTGTGTCAAGCTCGACCTTGCTAAGCAGTAAATTCGATTGTTTACCAAGCTTCAAGGGTGCATCTATCCTGTTCAAATGAGTTGCACGGACCTAACCCTCATAAGGCAACCGCATAGTGGATCAGCCAGCCAGTTGTTGAGCTGTAAATCAAGATAGAGTGATTCTAGCTTCATCCAGTTTCATCGAGGAGGATAAGCCCCACAGGTAGATTGCTAGGTTCGTCTGAATGCAGAGGTCTGCATTTTATCTCACCCAGCTGTGCGGAATCATTCTGTATTTCGCCAGTGTGATGAGCTGGATGAACCTTGCAACAATTATTTCGGTTACTTGACGTAGGTTGCAGTGCCAGTGCGCCTAACTCTGTGTACTCAATACCTGCTGCCGAGCGTCTCAGCGCATTCCAATACCTGAGCTGTCAAGGCTAGGTAAAGAAGATCCAAGTAGCATATGCATGACGAATGAGTTGATACCAAACAGGGCACCCTTGCTTAATCCCGCCGAATGCGGTGAACTCAGGCGAAGTCCTGTCGTAGACAGTTGTGAGTAAGCACAGTACTTTGTGGGAGACACTGACCATTGCTAAATACTGTCATAGTTGCTGACGAACGGCGTAATCAAAAGCATTTCAAAAAAGAACCATAATTTTATTGTTTTTGAAACAAGGGATGCATTTCAAATACTTGTTTGCTGATTCAGTGTATGAGCGATTCGGCCTCCTACATGGTGAAATTCATTTTGGGTTTCTTGAACCCAACTCTTGCGATAGTGGATCATCCCAGGAGCACCCTAGAAGGTATGACTACTAAACCGATGCCTAAGGTGCATTTTTGCATAATGTTCAGGCACTATTCTTTGAGTTTGGGTTGACACTGCATCCTGTCGATAGTGTATCTTCATTTCATATTTTTCGTAGCTCAGTTGTCGGGCTAGCTACAGGGGTTCGAATGCCTTTGCTGAGGCCTGCAGGGTGCAGGCTGTCTGTATGAGATGCTTTGTTCTGCTGAAACAATGAATTCTCCCATTGAGCGTCTGTTGCTGATAGACAATCGATGTCCGCACTACATATAGATCCCCGTAGTTCTCTCACAGACTGAATTATTGGGGGCCAGCGGAACTGTTCTACACTGTCCAGCTCCTTATTGAAGACATCGTTACTGAAAGTAATTAGAGGTCATATCTTTTCTGTGTATCGTCTTGCTAAGACGGCCTCTTCTGGTCGGTTGATGGGATTTAAAGTAGGGTGCAGCTTTTTCCATTTGAGGCAGCCCTCTCGATTTTCCGAGTCTCCACTGTCTAACAGCATCGTAATTTTTTTACCCCAATCTTCGCTGCTTGAGGGATCTGCATACTCCAGGTTGCTGGTATAACTTTTATGGCAGCTAGTGTTCATTGGGGTATGCAACTGTCCGCGCTTGCTTGCTTGCTTCTTTCATTTTTCTATGTTCATCATCAGTCATCACGATGATCTCACTGTGCTCGTGGCTCCAGTCAAATCTATATCGTGCTGCAGAGACGCTCCTGATAAACCCATCTGAACAAGGCCATAATCGTAGTTGCGCTGTGTTTTCATAACAGATGACAGTTTTGAATTGCCCCTCTACGGGTAGCTGAGCACCACACAGTTCAACTTTTACGGTAACGTATACCCGAGGGAATAAAGCCGGCGGGCAAACATACAGAACCATGTAGCAAGCCGACCCAAAAGTGGTGGCATGATAGTAGACACTGGCACGAATGAGTGCTCCATCATCTATGCACCAGCGTCATCCGTCAATCTCTCTAAATTTCAACGTAAACCCCCATCCTTCATTCCAACATCATGCAAATCTTGCCGGAAG